CACACATACAACTCTACTGGAGCACGCTCAAAAACATAACGGACTACAATACCCATGATTCTCCTTGCACTTCTCCTGTCAGAGTAATTCCCAACTCACTGGCCATTTAATGTCATAATATTCAGTAGTGTTACATACTGTAACATCGATGTAGCTTAAATGTGCCTGTTTCTTGAATTATTTGATCTCCAGAACTATTATGCTTTCATGTTTGTTTATATAGCTAAAATATATTAATAAACATATAAACTACCATTAAATGTTTATAATTCTTTTTCACACTAATGTTTTAGGTTTAGTGCAGTGTAATACAGTGCAAATTTAGATAATCTAAGGTACATGACAAAAAAAGTACATTTAGATGTCCTAAGCAATATTTCAAGTATCTAGTAACAAGAAGTATTTCAAGGATTAATAATGTACTTTAACAAGGCATTCAACTCAAGGCACATGGATGTTAATTTCATTTTAGAAACGTATACAGCTCTGTTCACCATTCTGGACAGATCTAAGATTTTGTACGTTTTTTTATACTATTTCCTTGTCAAGCTGCACAGGACTAATGTATTAGAATCAATGTATGTATTTTTCTGCCACCATACTGGTTTTACATTTTTGAAAACGTTGATTCCAACCTTTTTAATGGTAGTTTAGATACATTAATATTATGTTTATAGTGTTTATTACTGCTATATTGAATGTCTGAGAACTGTTCTCTGTCCTTTGGTTGTTTGTGTCCTTGTTTTTTGGCGCCCCATGTGACAAGGTGTGTTGCTCCTTCACATACACACGCTGATTGACTCACTCACTCTCTCAACACGTGCACAAACATCTCTCTCCCTTTTTTGCTCTTTTTCTCTCTCTTGTGTTCTCTCTCTCTCTCTCTCTCTCTCTCTCTCTCTCTCTCTCTCTCTCTCTCTCTCTCCCTCCTGACCCCACCCCTCTGTAATTTGATCTCAGTCTGCTTTGTTCTGGAGCAGTAGGAGAGTCTGAGTGGTCTCTGTTTTGGTCAGACCACAACAGACAAACAAAGGTAATGCTGCTAAGGTTTGTGTCACATGTCCTACTGCTGGCTGTGACTGTGGTACATTTCCAGCTGATGACAACTCTGATGATGCAGTTATGTGTTTAGACTCAGCATGTTTTGATACTGCACTATGTGCAGTTTTAGTGTAAATGTGTTGGTGAGAAATGTAATGAGGTGACATGGATCTCGCATTTTGTGTGTGTGTGTGGGGCATTGGCATGGCAGGGCTGTAGTGCTCTGCGTATGTTGCAGTGGGGTTACTGTTCAGAGAATCAGAGATTAGCTCTGTAACAAAGGGCCTGTGGATGGAAAAACAGCTGGCGGGGGTGCATTGTTAATCGCTTTTAAAACCAGACGGCGAAAAAATAAACAACAACAAAGATTCAGCATTCCTCACTTTCCCGGACTATACTGTGAGCAGCCTGTGATGTCGTCTGAAGTTGTTTTTCTTTTGAATTCCACACCATCAGAATGTCCTGAGGAGCAACTGTTCTCTTCTTGTTTTGCTTTAGGGCCGAGACTTTGTTCATTGCTTAATGAATATTGACTATGATGTTATCCATTATATTGAGTACTATTCAATACTATGTGGTATTGTGATATTTAAGCTTTTATTATGACGTACAAATAACAAGTTCTTATAATATAAATTATTTTAGTTATCCAGGACTTGCCATGGGCAAATAAGATTAATTTAAGTGTTAAATTGAATGTCCAGCAAGTATGGTATGTGTAAGTAGTGAAGTGCTGTTGCAAACTTAATCTGGGCCTGTTGTTGGTGATATGAGCAGTTAAGACATGAATCATATACCAGATACTTGCAAAGACAGTTTGTGTGGTTCTTAGTAACTAAAAGTAGTGCTGGATGATATTTTGTCTGTACCCCTATTTGTGTCATTACAACTATGTTGATTTTCTGCATTTAGCAGTATTGATAGATAACAAAATTTTAGAAAACAGTCAGTCAATGCCATTTGCAGGGTGCTTCAGATTGTTTTGGAAGAATTGGCCAAAATGCATTAAAAGAAACCCTGAATTAAGTAAATAACTTTCTGGAAATTTGTTTTCTGTGTTAATAGTTGTTGGTATACTTTTAAGAGAACCAGAACCGAATAAACCTGTCCAGTCAAGTCAGGTGTGTAACACAGTATTGTAACATAGAGTAGCAGTACTCAGAAAGCATGGAGTCGTTAACTTCATTAATACTGACTTAATTATCATTACGAAAACATGATTTTGTGAAAAATATTGTTAAAACAAATGTATTGACTTCTACTCAGCAAGAACCCAAAGAAGGAAAAAGTGAAAGGATTTTTGTGTTTGCTTTGTTGAGTCTGAGTGACCTCTGTTTTTGTCAGACCACAACAGGCAAACAAAGCTAATTCGGCTAATTCAGAGCATCTGCTACAACACGTTCAGCCTCATCTTTTCTGCCTTCTCTTGACAACCCATGTTTGTGATTTGCTGAGGCCTAGATTTGGAGGCCTATATATAGGTCCAAAGCCTCCTCTGTGTTGGAGAATGCTATGCAGTCTGCAGAAATGATTGACACTGGAAATTACTGTGCCATTCCTTTATTGAGCAAATTGTTTTTAAAAAAAAATAAATCAAGAAAAGGTATGTGTTCTTTTGTTGCCCTTGAAGCAGCAAGACCATCCTACACTTTTATACTCTCTCGACGCTTCACACATGACGTTCTAGTGTTTGTATGCTCCAAACATAAAGGAGAAAACATTTACCGAAAGGTACCTTTGTCTTTGCTCTGTATAGAACATTGTTTTAATACTGCTGTGGAACATCCAGGTGGCATTTAAAGTTATGGTTCACTTGAAGTGAGAGTTTTCCCATCACTTCAAATGTAGTTGATTTCAGCCAAGACATGTTTGGTGTCTGAAGTTTACTTTAGTTTTGCACTGGAGCTCTGAGTCTAATGCAGCTAGTATGTGGTGTAAGTCTCTAAACTGTGGCTGACAGACATCTGTTACATAAGCCTTATGACTCCAGTCTTAAGAAGCTAACTTTGGATACCAAACATATCTTGGCTGATCAACAGCATTTGCCTGCGGGGGAAATTTTGTAAATTAGATTTTTTCAGGCAATCATTCGATCACACTTTGCTTTCTATTTCTGGGATAAATAAGCCATTCATGCAGAATTCCTCATCATTCCAAAGGACTTACAGATGTTTTGTAATAGCTATGTACTGTCAACTATTTTGACTATAAAAAGCATACAGTTTATTAGATAGTTGGAAATAAGTCTTTATTGTCTTTTGTCTTTCTGTTATCTAATGGGACAGGACTACATGTTCTTAGTAGTACTTTAACAGGCGTATTTTCCTTTTCTTCTCTCAGTCGCTGTTTTGTGATCTTTGAGCCTTTTTGGGTTTTCTAAATTCATCTCCTTTCTTCTCCAGCAGTGAGGAAATACTTGTCAGTTTTGTGTTTTGCTGTGGGCTGTGTGGCGAGTTAGATCAGAGAAAGTCTGTGGGGAATTTAATGTTGTTCCCTGGACACATGCTTCAGAAGAGCAGAGCACGGCGCAGCTCAGAGAGAGCAGCAGCTACTGCTAAGCCTGCGGTCAGTCTGGAGCAGGGCTGCATCAGAGCAACCACGCTGACCATTTCCCCTCAGTCTCCGTTTCTGTCTGCCTGTCTCTCACATTCCATCAGTCTCTTTCTTTTTGTCCTTTCTTTCTTTCACTGGAGTCATTCATTTTCTCACTTAGTCTCTCCTCCATCTCTCTCTGTCTCTTTCGGTCAGTCCTCCACTCTCCTCGCAGTTCTTTTTCTTGACACACTGGCTAGACTGTGGTGAATTGGTTCTTTCACTGTGCACTGAGATGACCTGTAATAATGACCTGTCTAGGACTGGAAACATTTCACAATGCTCTCCCTATAGTTAAAACAGTAGTGCTAAATAGGCAGAATTTCACAGCTAACCGTTACATAACAGCTGGTTGTTTTGTGGCTGAAAGAGTCTGGTTCATGACCTTTTTGACTGTGGACCATGTCTAGGCTTCTCTCATAGCATGCATGCCTAGGTCATGAAACATCCTGTCTAGAGCCACTGAACAATGCCTGTGTTTTCATGGACTAATATCATTTTAATTTAGATTCAATTTCACTGAGCAGAAGTCTTAGGCACCTACAAATGTGCATTTAAAAAGATAATACAATGCTCCCAAGTGGTGTTTGTCCTATTATCAAGAGATCACACGGTCAGTCCCTGGTGATGCTGCAGCCATCCGTGGCCAGGAGTCCAAGAGAGCACAGTTGGCCTCACTCTCTGGGTGGGTAGGATGGCCCCGCCTCTCCCCCCATCACCCAAACACAATGCTGGTCAGCGCAGGCGTCTGTTAGCTGATGTAACAGGTCTGGCGGTTGGCGCGTTTATCCGAGCCCGTTCAGCTGTCTAGTGATGTTGCACTAGCGGCAGTTCGAAAAGATGCGGTGACGCTTCACAGGTTTGGGCCTTCACACTCCTAACGCTGGTGGTATTGTGTGATTGGGGGAGTCCTTACTAGCGGGTGGAATTGGATACGACTAAATTGGGGAGAAAATTGGAAAAAGGGGAAAAAAAGGTAATACATCCAAATAACATGATTTTTATTTTTAGTAGTAATTTTATGCAGGCCAGTATTCCTTATAGTTATCATCCAATACCTGGTTTGGCTTATCAGCACTTAAATCAAGTGTGTTGGTGGTGGATCATAAATCGACTACTTTTCTTTGAAAACAAAATCTTTTAATGTACATTATTTTTCTGCCAAAATCTTACTGCCAAGACAAGAAAACTATTTGCTGAGGTGCCTAAGACTTTGCACAGTACCCAATGGGTGTGAAAACAAAGCTTTCTTGGGAAAAAGTGTACCTCCTGAAAGACCAGTTTTATGCCAGTACATTATTCAACAGTAGTGAAACTAAAACTGAAAGTCTAACAAACGCCTATGAATGTCTTCTCTCTTGTGGCAGGCATGGAAGAAGCGGTGGTTTGTTCTGCGCAGCGGGAGGCTGACAGGAGATCCGGACGTGCTGGAGTACTACAAGAATGACCACGTGAAGAAGCCCATCCGAGTGATTGACCTGAACCTGTGCGAGCAGGTGGACGCCGGGCTCACCTTCAACAAGAAGGAGCTGGAGCACAGCTTCATCTTCGACATCAAGACCATCGACCGAGTCTTCTACCTGGTGGCTGACACCGAGGAGGAGATGAACAAGTGGGTTCGCTGCATCTGCGACATCTGTGGCTTCAATCCCACCGACACAGACGGTATGTGGAATTGAACTTGTATCTTTTACAACCACAGTAACACAAATGGTATTATATGACTATATACTTACATTATTACTATTACTAGAACCTGGCAAACAGACTTGATTGAATTAATTGACGAATGAACAGCAAATATATATGATTCAAAAATAAGCCAAACCAAGTCAACAAAGCTCCAAAATGAACACAGCAGTGTTTCTTAGATGTTTTTCATTTGTCTTTATCACTGAGGCTGTGCAGTGTTTTTGCCAAAGTATTTGCTTCCTGCTTCCCAGGCACAGCAGCGCTAATGAGGTGCTGACGATATTACTGACAGCTCAGGTTACCCCTGATCACTTTAATTGAAACATTGTGCGCAGCCGAGCGTGTTTAATAAGATTTCTAGAATGCACAATGAGGTGTAGGGTACTCTGTGTGCTTGGATTAGAAGCCCTGTACCGTACAGTCATGTGTGTAAGAGTAAGGGTTCTACACGTATGATTACTCCTTCAGGCTGACAGACTGACTCTCGAAAAGCATAGATGGCCATGTCTGCATGCTTTTGTGTGTTTGTTTTGCCTCTGTATTTAGGATTCTCATTCAAATTAATACAGCTTTTCTGAATGATATTCATCTTTGGATTGAAGTGCTTACTCGAGTGGCTTGCAGGGGTATTTTGAGTGAAAATTTAGTTAAAGTATTTGTTGCCTTCGTGAAAAACAAAAAATGCTTGAAGTGTTTTCAGAGATATTTTATTAAATATTCTCTGTCAAGTGCTCTTGCTTATCTAACCACTCACAGCAATTAAAAAACTGCCGTATAAATTCTGCAGTTTGCAGGCTAGCTGAAAATATCTTCTTTCTGACCACCCACACAGATTATTAATTAAAGTAATTGTGATCCAGTCACAGACAGAACTGCTTATGACAAAGTATTTGGGGAAAAAAGTGCAGGCTGCATGCAGATTCAAATCAATTCCGATTAATTTAGCTTTAAAGGCCTTTATTCACTGAATGTGATTTATTCGAAAGACAGTAAATGAATTTGAACACGGGTATAAATCACGGCATCTTGCATATCAAACGTGATTTTTTTTTGGGTTGGCAATAACATTTGCCCTCTGTTCGAACTTTTGCCGGCAACAGAAATTCTCTGACCAGTCACAGTCGCCTCTGTTGTTGGCAAGACAACAACCAAGGTGACAGAGCAGCTGTGTTCCAGCAAGTGGAACTTTTCCACAAACAGTAAAAGGATCAGAATCTCCAAAAGCAGGTCAAACTGAGTTACAAACACCTGAGTTAACTGTGTACGAACTCTTCAGCTTCTGAATGAAGTGATGAAGCTGTTCATGCTTTCACTTTTCCAAAACGGACACTAGCCCAGTGTTACCATTTGTCCTTTTTGCTGGGAGCAAAAAAAGTGGAGCTTATTTGCACTTGAAGACATCCATCTCGTTTGTTTTGTGCTTCATTTAATGTCAATCTCCAAATAATTTTAAACTCAGCTAGAATTAGGTGGAGAAACTCCCTGTTCTCCTCTCGCTTTTCTAAAGTAGAATGCATCGTGCCCAATAGACTATTTATTTATTTATTTATTTATGTATGTATGTATGTATGTATGCATGCTTAAAAAAGGAAATTTCACAAATGGACAGTAATGGGTTAATTGTTCATAGATGTATTGATTTCTTGTGTATTGAGACGCTGATTGAGGCGAGGCCAGTCTGGGCCCTCCTACCCAGGCCCAGGCCCAGCAGCGAGGCTTCAGCTCAGACAGACTCAGACACGCTGATCTCCGGCCTGGAACCCGTAGTGTGGTGCTGCTAACACAGCGGAGTGGGCGGCGGGAAGACAAACACGAAAGGGGGATTTTCCCAGTGCCGAGATGAATCAGCAGCAGTGCCTGACAAACAAGAGGGAGGGGGGGAGAGAGAATGAGTGAGGGAGGGAAAGAAGTGGAGAGAGCGAGGGAGAGAGAGAGAGAGTGAGCAGTCCTCCTGACTCAGTCAGCCTTGAGAAGCCTGCACTTAGAGGGTGAAGTCAAAGACTTGAGTGAGTGGGTGCTGGAGTTTGTGCGTGTGTGTGTGTGTGTTTGTGAAAAGCTGTAAAAGCATAAGAGATTTGAATAGCAAGTCTGATATGAAACACATGCCCACAGAAAGAGGCACTCTCCACAGACCTTGAGAAAAAGCTCATCTGAGCACTGTGGAAATCATATTTCAAATAAATGGCCAGAGATCAACAAAAGCTGATTTAGAAACCATAAATATGAAGGCAGCCCTAAAAAATAATCAGCGTCTTATGTGCTGCCCAAAGCATCTGCTAATTGGTGCATAATTTTGATGCCTTTAAAAGTCGGGTTGTGCCGTGAAACCCTACAGCCATCTCATTTGTACTGAGTACCTGTGACATAACACTGTATTGCAGTACATTCAGTTATTTATTGGGAAATGGATTTCTCTGATAATGATTTGCCTGTTCTAAAAGTGGTCTTTTTCGTAACCTTTTCTCAGGTGCGTAAAGACTTGCAGTGTCCTTCAGATGTATGACTCACTGCAGCTCTGTAGAGAAAAAGCCAGTCCAGCTTTTACACTGTCTATAATTTGTAGTCCCCCTCAGATAGACATGATTGCAGATCAGTAGTGTTTTAGGCCAGAGATACCAAATTTAGTCCACTGGGAAAAGGTGGGCTGTGTTTAGTTTTCAGAATCTGAAAATGACAATTATATGTTTATGTATTAATTTGTTTATTTTATATGTATTAACTTATTTTTGTAGGTCAAGTATGCATTTTTTTTGTAAATGTTTGTAGCTGACTAGCTGTAAAACTGTGAGTATTTTAGATTTTCACTTTCCTGACTCCTGACAAATTTGTATGCTTGGTGTTTGTTGTGCATAGACTCGGCAAAGGCGTCTCACCAGGCTGCTGTGAGTGCGGGTCTGGTGGTGGATGTGCCCCCTCACGCTGGGATGGTGGGGCCCTCAGTGCTGGCCAGTGTGCCTCCTCCGTACCAGCCTGTCAGTGTCAGACATCTGGAATCTTCCTCCAGCCTCGATGACACCCAGGACTACCTGCTGCTGCTTCACTGCGAGAGCAAGAAACCAGAGGCCAGCAGGTAAGACAGAGGATTGATGGATAGATGGATGAGCAATCATATCTCATCCCTCCTCTTTTTAGTTTAGAATAAACTGCTCATTTGCTCTTGTAGATCAAAGCCCATTAGATAGACATGATTTGCCAGAACCATTGACTGAACTTTCATACCACGTTGTGACTACTGAAGATTCTGATGAAAAGTGTGTGTGTGTGTGTGTGTGTGTGTGTGTGTGTGTGTGTGTGTGTGCGCGCACATGCGTGTGCACGCTGCAGTCCTGTGGCACTCTCTCAGAGGGGAGTGGAGCAGGAATACCTGCTCTTGGAGGAATGTGAAAGCAAGAGTGCTCCTCCTGACAGTCTGTGAGTGCACAGCATGTGTGTGTGTTTGAAGTGAAATAAATATAAAACAACATGCAGTCATATACGAAAGTTTAAATACCTCTGGGCAGATTACGTTTTATTGATTTTCTAAGTGAACTGTCGCATCCTTTACAGAGAACAAACTTAAATATGACATTTTTCTTCTAATTTCGTGCACAATTTCTGTTTGTTTGCAATGTTTAATTTTTAGGCCACATTTTGTTTTATTTGCGTTCTCGTGCGTGTGTTCTGTAGAAGATTTTTTAAATACACAAAGTTTATACACACACGCAAACCATGCATGAACATTTATTAAACTTGGGCTACATTCATGATGCAAGCAAACATGACCTAAATTCTGCTGTCTTCGTCTTTCGTGAGACAGACAAATGGGTGGAATCTGATGGTTCCAATTTTGATATGGTCTACTTTTATATCTTGTAATCTGATACGTGTATGTCTGAACAATCAGGTTAAAATTCATGTGCCTTTTTATGTCAATTTAACTGAATCTTCATCCTAATTTCACAAAGAGAAACGTAACGTCATCAAAATGCCTGCTTCTGTGTTTTCTTCACATCTTTCGTTTTGGAAGACAAGCGACACAAGCAGGCAGTGTAAATAGGTGGCACGGTACTCTCTAACCAAAAAAAAAATCATACCAAAAACTCTTCAGAATAATAAAAGAATATTTCAGGGACAAAAAAGAGAAACAAAATCATCAAAAGAGCTTCACACAGATCAAATGTCTTCCAGTATATACTGCTGTTTCGGATTCCCTTTGTTAGTATTCTTCTTTATGGCGGGAAGGTGAAGGAAACTGAGCTTCTTTTCTCCATTTAGTTGGCTTCTACATTTAAACAAACACATTCTTTTTTTTTTTACTCTTTTCTGAAAACTTTGTTCAGCAAGGTTGTTTTACTGTATACTTCTTTCCTCCAAGTTTTAAAGTAGCAGTTCTCACAGCTCATTGTGATGTTATGTTAAAGAAGCCTATTAATCTGAATGAAAGATAGAGGACAGTTGTGTTTGTTGGATGAGCGTGTCGGGTGGATTGTTCTTTTGCCCCTGTTCAGGAGCTCGTAAGTTAAAAGAGTGATGTGTTCAGACTCATAAATGTATAAACAGAACCTCGAGACCTAGCCCACATCCAAATACTCCTAATTGGTCTTTGTGCCAGCAAAAAAAATAAACCAGATACTATTTAATGAAAAAAAGAGTGAACTTCCTGCATAGTCTTATCTTAGTCTGATAATCTGCAAGCGAGAGAAGGGAACAGAATCCAAAGCTGAAAAGTTCCAAAAATGAAGTGGTTGACATTTTTTGTGGATTCACTTAAAATCTTTCCATTATTATTATCAAATTATTTTATTCATTCTTTCATTCATTCATCCTTTTGATTCCATATTTTCCTTTCTGTATCTGCACATACAGACTAAAGTTCTCACAACACATAGCTGTAGAGGAATGTTCCAAAATCTCTTTGTGCATAACCAGACACCACAGTTTACTTGAATGCATGATGAATGAGTGTGCTAACCCTATCACTTAATGTGCTTTACTTTTACCAGGCATGTTAAGTAATCCAGATTTAAAAGATTAGTGGGATGTGTTGGAATAAAAGATGTCAGAATTGCTCAAAAATTAGTGTTGCTTGTAGTGTTGCACAGCATGGTGGTGAAATACTATCTAAGCTGTTTATTATTATTATTATTATTATCTGTAAGTATTAATTTATGTTCCCATTTTGTTGCAACAGAGCTGAACACTCTTTCATGAGCAGCTGAAATAATGTTAGTGTCTGTGGTTTCTGACACAGGGCCCATGGTGAGTGCTCAAAGTCTACCTCCTCCGAGCCCGACTGCAATGACAACCTCCCATCCCACCGCACACCCACCTCCTCCACGGGCAAGCATTCTTCGGTTAACGGCTTCTTCTCTTCCCAGCATGTTGGACTGTATGACTCCCCTCCCTCGCGGGGGGCCAGTCTATCTGCTGATGCTCAGGGCCTGTACCACCTGCCCCGTAGCTACTCACAGGACACTGTGCTTCTGCCCAAGTCTGCATCTTCACCCCCTGTACCTGACACGGATCCGGGTGAGCTCTATGTTTTTAACACGCCCGCCCGAAAGCCCTCCTTTGAAGCCCAGCTCAGGAACCTGTCCGTCAGCTACGATATCCCGCCCACACCTGGCAGCAACTGCACCTATCAGGTACCTCGCACGGCAGGGGCAGAAGCTGTTGTCACGGCTTCAGACGTGGTGCCTCCTCCTCGCCCGCCTAAGCCCTCGCTGGGTGCAGCAGCAATACCACCTGATCGGTCGCCCACAGATACGTACTGTGTGCCGAGGTCAGTGTCAGAGACGGACACTAACTACTGTGTGCCTTCTGGGGCAGGAGGGAACAAAGCTCTGAGGAGCAACACCATCGGCACTGTGGATTCTTCTCGCCTCCGAAAAGGTAACTGCCATCTGCTGACCAGTTAGTTAAACTACAGCTCAGCAAGAGGTAACAAGAGCACAATTTAACATCTTACTTTACAAAATAATGTGATGTATAGCTTAATGTATAATTGTGTTTGTGATAAATTGTCAGTTAGGTTATATAATAGAGAGACCAACAAAAAGCCAGCCAACAGAAATCTTCATAGTAGTGTGAGAACAATGTAGTTGTTTCTGAATTGTTGCTGTGGATTCACATTTTAAAACTGGGTGCACCAAATGTCTGACTTCTACTGTGCCTGAGTAGTCTTGTTTTGGCTCCCTGTAGCTGTGTGCAGTGGTTTGTTTACTGTGCTCTGATCACAAGTTAGTCCTGTTTCTACCTTGACACAATGTCTTGCAGGCCAGTACACGCCAGTGCTTCTAGCTTTCACTCTGTCAACTCTGGTCTTTGTTGAAGCTCATTTTAGGCTTTCTCTGTGCTGAAACCTTCGGTTTTTGGCCCCTTTGTAACTTGTAGTCATTAACAAGCTAAATAAGTCAGATTATAAGTACTAAAGCTTGGTTTTATAGCTGAATGGATGTTAGAGTAAAATGATGATAAATTACAGTCAAATGATCATATTTCAATCTCAGTTTATGTCATTACTATATTCTATTTTGTGCTCTTTATTTATTTATTTTTCATTTTTGCAGATTATGGATCCTCTCAAGACTGCTATGATATACCCAGATCTTTCCCTTCAGACAGAAACTGCTCCTTTGAGTTCAATGAAAATTTCAACAACTATTTTGTGAGTTTATTTTTATGTGATTTTGGTGTTAAATGGTGTTGTTTTAAAAGCTTTGTAAGTGATCAGTTCTGTTGTACCTTTATCAGTGAAAGTTATTTATATAAAAGACGTTCAAGGTTATACCTTCTATGTTGTGTAGTGTTTTTTGAGTTTTTTTTTTTTCTGATTTGAATAAATGAGGGGGACAGGTCTTAATCTTTAACCTTTAACATGTTTCTCCTCTCATATAGAAAAATAAAGGTATGCTACCTGTGGGGAGCGCCTCAACAGAGGACATGGATGAGAACTATGTTCCTATGAGTGCCAATTCCCCATCACACCACCGTTCAGGCAGCCTGTCCGAGCCAATTCAGGAGCCCAACTATGTGCCCATGACTCCAGGCACAGTAGAGTTCCCCTCCCTTGGAAAGCAGGTGCCCCCACCTGCCCACATGGGCTTTCGCTCAAGTCCCAAAACCCCCCCACGCAGACCTATGCTCATCACTGACTGCCAACCACCCCCAGTCGACCGTAACCTCAAACCCGATCGCAAAGGTGAGCCCTAAAGGTGTGTATGTATGTGTGTGAGTGTGTGAGTGAGAGGCTTGGTTTTAGCTGTGTGTGGCTGTGCAGGATTATTGAGTGCTTTATGGGAAGCCATGAATGTGTATGTGAGATGTATATTTGGTCATTTCTTTGTGTCTGTGTTTAAATAGACTTTTCACTGCATCCATGCATTGTGTATCAGTGTTGCAGTAATCTTGTGGGTTGGTATAGAAGTGGTATCAACATGCTTGTCATTTTACTGCTATAACACAGCATACTAACTGCCTTACACGTTCATTCATTAACATGTGCTGGCCCATGCTTATGAAATTCCCTCACTCAGTAGTGTATAAATAAGGAGACCCTTCGTTATTTTTGCCATAAATTAAAACTAATTGACCGTGCTATACACACAAATACTTTTTCAGAGCAGCAGTTGCGAGGTTGGATGAGCTTTACAGAATGTATCCCATTCAACTAGAAATCCGATTCATTCTAATGAGAGTTAGTTACACACAGATTTGAGGCAGTTTAATCAAATTTCATGTTGCTAGGGTAGATCTGATGTAATTCATTTTGTTGTGTAATCAAACCAGCATTAGTGGACCGATATTTCAAACCTGCCTAGTTTTGATTAGGTACAACAACATGGTCTTGCTTAGTATTGTAGCGTTTTACACTGGAAACTGGTTATTTATCATTAACAACTGAATAGGTTTTTGTCAGCATGCATGAAGCTTGTCCAACCTCACGACAGTTGCTAAGAGAGAACATGGAGCATTTGACAGTTCAGTGTCACTCTTAGATGAATAAAGGTAAACAAATTTAGTTCTCATTACTAGAAGTAGCACTCATAAGCTCACATCTCTAGTGGCTCTCCCCAGTTTAGCCAAGAAGACTTTCACTACAGAAAGCCACCTTTTAGCCAATGGAGTGAACCTAGTCTGTGCTAGTGTTACAGTGGCCTCTGCCTTTGTTAGCTGTTAGCATGTGACCTGGCTAATGAAAGAAGCTATTGTCCCGAGGCTCAGATCTGTGTATGAGGCAGCCTGACCGCGCTGTTAGCCTGGAGCGGTCACCTCTGTCCCCATTGTCCCTTTCTCAAAGGCCCTTTTGATCGGCAGGCTTGGAATAGGAATTTTAATCAAATTTTGCTGGTGTTATTGATCTGAGTGTGCTTAAGAAAATACATATACAGAATGCTGTAATATAAGTTAATTGATCAAAATGGTTTGTTGACAGTGTGCATGATGAATAATGCATGTTTTAAGAAACTAAGAAACTGCCTGATGTACACACCCTTTTATATCTGATTGCCACATAAAGATTTTGATTAAAGGTGGCGTTTCAGTAACCATGGGCCAGACACAATGTCACTCTCAATGGAAAAGTTCTTGTGCTTTGCTGCCATGCTTACTAATTCTGTGGTGTGCACTGGACTGCAGATTGAAGACGTTCTGTTTGGCACATATGCGGTATTTGCTAGTCTGTGTGGGACATGGCTTTGAATAGGCTGTTATGAGAGAGACATGGTGTTCTGTTGGGCAGTCACAGGCTTTTCTCTGTCTGTTCATGCCTCTCGTCGACTTTCTCTTTGTTTTACCTCTATTGTTTTCTTCGATCACATCTGGCTGCACTTTGTTCTTCCTTAGAAAACTATCCTTTTAGCATTTTTATTATTTTTACACGATTCTCTCTCACTGTTTTTGTATTTCACCCTGTTACTCTTCTGCGTCTCTTTTATATCTCTTTCTGGCTCTCTTGTATCTGAGGTGGGCTTGTGTTCAGTGTACAGCTGAAGTGCATTCTCTTGCTTTGGGTCTTTGGGTCATGGTAGATTTGTGTGTCTTTGCCTTCTCCTCTTGCTGTGTTGATTGCCACAGCTTTCACTGTTGCAGTTCTGTGCTGGGTATTGGGGCATGTCCACAAGTGAGTTTGGAACGCTGAGTTTTGAAGAAACATCCCTAAACACGACTGTGCGACTGAGGCAGTGTCGGTGTGCGTCGTTGTGAATTCTGTACTTACAAACGTGCGTTTAACCCTGTGCATGCTGCGTTCTGGGCTTTGCTTCAGGGGAAGCCCTTCCTGTTGCATGACCTAAGTGCATGATTTGTTGCTATGGCAGCAGCAAAATACATATCTGTGCAGCAAAAGAGTGAGAAAGTGTAAAGGAGGAGGAGTAGGCGTAGGTGGCCATGCTTTTGCTACATTGCATGAGGGCAAAGGGTTAAAAAAAATAATTATACACACACAGAATATAGCACATTATTTCAAAAGGGACGTGTAATAAAAACAAGTTTTTTTTCACCAATCAGGTCAGAGTCCTAAAATAATCAGAGCTAATCGGGCTGTCGGTCTTGAGCGAACCGACTCTCAAACCGTAGGTGAATTCCGAGGACGTCGTAAGGGTAGGTACCACCAAAGACCGCCATTCTGCTGTTCTCTCTTGTCTGCCTGTCATCTGAGCTTTTATCAACACTTAACAAGATCTCTTCTGAACATTTCAGTTCTTACTTACAAATTCAAAAACAAAACAAGAATGTGCTAAAGAATATGTAGATATCACATTTATGATGAGTATACTCGCCTTGCAGGATGGTTTTATTGCTTCAGATTCCCTTATACTCTCAGATTTTATTTAAGAATCTTACGGTGTATTATTATGAATTACTCACTGCAGGGGTAGACATTCATGTTGGCCATAGCTTTTCACATTTTGACCACTAAAAATGCAGAGCCTGAGGCCTGGTTGGCTATGTGCTTTGGAAATTTTCTCTTTGCGTTTTTTCTTTTATAACAAACCTGTCTGGTCAGATACATAAGTAATTAGACAAATCAGATTTAGTCACAGTTTGTTAACTGTAACCACTGCGATAGCTAATGTGATGGTGTGGTTGGCCCCCTGCTGAGCTGGTCCACCTGATGTCATAGATGTGGTTCCATTGATTGAAGTTTGCTTATAACACTAAAATAAGGTCTTAAATAAAATAGTGTTAAATAAGCTGCCATTACACTGGGAGGTTATCACTGCAGTAGCTAAACTTTACCTAGTGACATAACCTAGACTGGATAAAGTCAAGACGAACCAGCTTGGCCAGGGGGGACCACCACACTCACCACAACGGCGATATTTTTATTACTATAAAATGTATTGATGTTTATCGGTGCTGAAGCATGTTTGTTAATTGTTAATACAGTATATACGAGCCGACAGCGGAACGCTACAATATAATAAACATATTTCTATCATCCGGGCCACAAATTATTCATTTTGGTTACAAGAGTTGTTGGCTTGGTGGCCCATCTGTCTACCCCTGACTGCTGTGAAATGTGAAAGTTATGTTTTTATGAGAATGAGGAATTACCACATAGGGGTTTAAGGGGTTTACACATGTGAAAAGCATGGGCAGTTGGATGTGATTTTTGCAGCTCTTTCAGCTGTTGCTGACATTTGGGTCGAACCAAAATCAGTGAAGCAGGCTGAAGTCACACAGATGTGCACGCACACACAAAACATGCTGTATGCACCATCAATGTCTTAAGTACTGACAACCTGCTTTCACCCTTGTATCACTAACTTCATACATCTTGATACAAGCAAAACGTTAACATGAATAAGCAGCTCACATATTTACATTGCCATTGCTCAGCCATATTCACAACATGCAGAGTATGTGATGGTTTATCATGATAGAGGGACTTTGTGAACCGAGAGTGCTGTGTTCCAGAAGAGCTCAGTTAGGGCTTTGAAATCCATATCAGTAGTGTGCGCTGTCTCTGTCCTCCGGTGTGTTGGTACCAGATGGTGTGGCTTTGAGACGATCCTGTTTAGCCATGGGAAAGCATGTTTCTCTTTGGTTGCCAGATTGGTTGCTTCTCAGCTCATCAGCACTGTAGGCCAGCTGTGAGAGCTGAATCAAAACTGTGAAATTAAAAGGAGTCTGGATTTGTGTTGTAACCTCCTGACTGTGTTTTTTAGCTCTTGCATGAGGCTGCAAGTCACGGGCAAAGTCCTGAATGCCTTAAAAGTAATTCTCTGAGGTCTACAAGAAAGAGCTTACTTTCTTTTGTTTCTGGAGTCTGCTTTTTTGTACCTGCTTTGTTAGAATTACTGAGAAACTATTTTTTGGTTGTAAGTTCATTTTTGAGATTATGAAACATAGCTTAAAAAAAACCCTACAGTTTAGATGGTTAATTAGTGTGCATTAGTTACTGTACTAAGTCAGCCTGATTGGGGCTGTTTTTTGTGGCCAACAGCTCCCTCTGCAGGCACATTCATTAATGCTGCTCTATTCACCAGTAGTTTAATGCCCAGAGCCCCCAGTGTAACCTCATCCAAAGGGTTTGATAACTTAGCTTGAATCCCATGTGTTAGAAAAAGGAATATACAAAGCTCTGCAGTCTCCTGTGACTTTCATAGAAAACTGCCATTCTATACACAATACACTGAATGAATACATGGATTCACGGAATATCTACTGTGCATGCATTGTAATTTCCTAGGGGTCTTTCTTTCTAGGTAAGGAAAACATTTTGTTAAATGATGTGCCATACATGCAGCTTTCATAATGAAATCAGTAATCCTCAGCAATATCTTTGACTTCTGCACTTTTACCAAAATGTACATTTAATGGAAACATGATGACCCCAGAGAACTTCCGTCTCTCAAGGTCTCTCAAAAACTGTTTGTCTTGTACCTAATCTGAATGTAACATTTATGCCTTTTGTTATAGCCAAACCAGCCCCTTTGGACATCAAACCACTTCCTGAGTGTGAGGAGTTTATTACACCAGTCCGTTCACCCGTCACCAGGTCCTTCACCAGGGAGTAAGTGTCCATCATTATACACTAGGTCTGGTTAGCAAGTCTACTGTTTTGTTTCAGCATCACCCAGTGACCTGTGGGCTAATCTTTCTCAGACTATAAGTACTGAAACTGATGTGAACTGCTTAGAGCCACTTATCTGGCTGCTGCTGAAAGGAGCTACCGTCCAGGCATGGTTTTGCATGGCCTCTGGCCAAGAGGCACATTAACTAACCCTTCATCCAGTACTGTAGTATTGTCCTAACTCATTATGATGGCGCTTGATCATGATGTGAATTCTTTCACACTTAAGTGTTCACAAGTAATGACTGATAGATTGTGAGTGATTAACCTTGAATATTCTTAGCCAAGGAGGTCCAGCAAAATCTGTTCATCCAGAAAGACAGACAGCTAAAGATCAGCTAGAGACGTGAAACACAACACAAGTTGTGTTTGTGAACATCTGTGTGCGAGAGAATTTTGCACGTGTGACTGAAAGAATGCGTGTGCATGTGTGCGTGCGTGTGTGCGTGCGTGTGTGTGTGTATACAGAAGCAGTAGTGTAAAGGTTGTCATGGTGCTCAGCCCCTCCAGGTTCCCCATGCCTCCCAGGCCGCCGTCGGTGCATAGCACTGGCTCCAGCACCGACTCCGAGGACTGTGATGAGAATTATGTCCCCATGCAGGACACTAAGAAATCTACAGATGAACCAGTATGTAACCGCAGCACCACTCCCCAACTCTTCCTTTACTCTTCAGTTACAGCTCCTTTTATAAATAGCTTGTTTATGGAAAAAGAGCTCAGTACATTTTTAAGTCACGTTTTTGGTATTCTATTTAATTTCTACTAAGTAATTAAGTAATGTGATAACATACAGTCTCTGTTGGTGCTGCATAGTAATTTGCCGTGAGATTCTACTTTCAAAATATGTGAATTGTTGTAGTTTCCTCTGCTTCTTCCCCATCTCCTCACCAAATAATATAATAGTGTAATCATTTAAATTATTATCATTTAAAATGCGGAACACAGCTTATACTGCCTTTTTTGCTACCCCTCAGTTTTGATTTTCAGTATGTAATCAGGGTGCAAACTGAGGAAGTCAGTGACCTGGATAGAAGGACTCCTCTCATCCTCTCCTCCCTCCACTCTTCTCTTTTATTTCCTCCAGTTTCAACAGTTCTGTTTCTCTCTTCATTTTCTCGCTCCACCTGACAATGTGGGTTCTAATAACTTTTTGTTGTTGTCTCCTTTGTTTGCATGGACCAAGTTGTCATATGAAGCCTTTATCTACAGTCTATAACTGCTGAGACAGCAGGAACCTGTTTTTGTGATGACAGGGCAATGCGCAGTATAATGGCACTAACATGCGTGGGTGTGGCACATACATTTTTGGTATTTTGGGGTCTAGTGCAGTCAGTAACCTGGCACAGTTATAAAAGGGGATTAGGTTAGAATGACTGCACTGTCAGCAGGCCTGGTTAGGTGTGCTGCAGTGACATCCAGTCAAAGCAATTCCTATCAATCAGTGAACAGTGATGTTTGTCTAATGGCAGGGCATTGCCACCTTTGTTGAAAATAAGTGTTAAATTACTTTTATGGATAGTCAAAAAATATATCATCTAATCGATTTCACGTTAGTATTTTAGTAGTAACTATAAGCCTCAGGTAACTTTGTGTTTAAAAAATTTTTTGAGTTTAAAAAAAAAAATTCCCACTGCGCCAGTGGATTTTGAATGTCACCCCAACCCAACCACTGTGTCACACATTTCTGGCCTCCAAAATAACAGAAAAAAATGCACTTGCATGCAACTAAATTAGCCCCATACTGAAATTATAGAACTAAATTGCTTGTGCTTGCATTAAAAATGTAGCCCGTGTAGTCTACTTATGTTTGGTGGTTTACAGTGTTGACAGCAATGGATTCTTTGTGGTTTATCACAAACTGCATCATGTGCATTTAAAACCAGCATATCAGGACGCCTTCATATGACTAACAGGTCCAGTTTTTTTTCCTGCCTCTGTACTCATCTTTTTTTTTGTTTCTTTCTGTGCATTTGTTCTTTTAGTTCTTTGCTGTTCAACACATTTTGCCTTCTCTTCTGGTTTCCTCTCCTTTATTGTTTTGCCATTATCTTTTGCCCTGACACCTTTTGCTGCTCCTCTCTTCTCCTGCCTGTTCCTCTGCTCTATAGAGAGGAGTCCTTCTACTGCACGGTGCCGATCACCCCCGTTAAGAGGGAGGTGGCGGGTCTAGAGCACTTTGAGGAGGTGAGCAGGGGTGCTAGCATGTCCTAAATTCTGATAGCTGCTGATAGAGTCCAGACTCCTCACAATTAATACAGCACATCTCAACAATCAAAGTTACCTGACATTACTGATCCAAGATCAGTACTTAACAGCAATCGCTGTACATGCTCGACCACTTTTGTGTTTATAGTTTGTGTAAGTTAATACCATTAATAATTCACCCAAATATTATATATAGCTAGAAGTTCAGCAACTGCAATTTTACTATCATTGAAAACACAGGCTCTGACTACACAAAAAGTTTTGTAATTTTGTCTTTTATTAGGTTTATGTGTTTAGATGTTCAGTGTCTCCTAGCTTTTAGTCCATTTTCCATCATAGCTGTATTTAGATCATTCTGTAGTTAGGTTATGATTTGAAGCCTCAATCTGGAATTGCAACTGAGTGATGTTTGTAGTGAACCTTCCTCCAATAGTTCTAATCCTTGTGTTGTTTCAGTTGTAGTTCCAGTCTGGAGCTTTAATTCTGTTAATTCTGAAGATGAAAGTTAAAATAAACATTGTTGACTAAATGAAGTGGTACTCACTTTTATCATTTGGGGGGGATTTCAGAAGCTGGGACCGCCCATGAATGCAGATGGTGGTGGCAGTCCCATGGTAAAGCCCAAAGGAGACAAGCAGGTGGAGTATCTGGACTTGGACCTGGACCCTGGCAAATCCACTCCTCCTCGTAAGGTGCGACAACATACTAATCTGCAACATAGAGAACTGACACGTCCAAAACCTTCTTGTAGTCATGTTTCAGTAATACAGCAGTGAACATACAGTGTAATCAATGAAATCACACAGTGCAGCTCAATATAATGAAGGATGTGCTCAAGTGAGCATACAGGGACAGTATGTAAAATACTAATAAAAGAGAAAGCAGTTTTTGTTAACTTTAAATCGAAACAGTACAGAGAAAAGATATTTAATGTTTTACTTTGTCAGCTTCACTGCTTTTGTTAAATGTACAATCATTCTGAAATTAATGCCTGACAAAAATTGGGATGGTGAATTTTAAACCTAGCAATGTTGTGAAATGTTCAAAAACAGCTTAAACTGGTGATGCAGTCATGCTTTGGTATAAAAGGAGCATCCAGGAAAGACCTTGTCCTTTTTAATCAAGGATGGGTCGAGGCTCACCTAAAAACACATCAATGAATAATCCAACAGTTCCTCGAGAACAACGTTCCTCAATAAGCTTTTGCAAGGATTTTAGTTTTCTCCCCCTCTAGGATGCAATATATCATCAAAAGATTCAGGGAACCAGAGAAATCTCTGTGTGTAAAGGGTAAGGCTGAAAACCACAACCTAATGCCCCTGACCTTCAATCCTTCAGAAGGTATTGTATTTAAAAACTGGACTCAGGAATACTTTGACAAACCGCTACCAATAAATACAGCCCGTTGCTGCATCCTCAAATGCAAAGTAAGACTATGCACATGGGAAGACATATGTTAACCAAATTAAGAAATACCGCCAATTTTCCTGGGCTCGAACTCCTCTGAAATTGGCTGATGCATAGTGGAAATGTGTATTGTGGTCTGACAAGTCAGCCTTTCTGATTGTTCTAGGAAATAATGGATGTTGCGTTCTCCAGGCCAAAGAAGAAAAGGGCCATCCAGATTGTTATCAGCGTGAAGTTAAAAAGTCATAGTCTGTCATGGCTTGGGGTGTATTAGTGCCCATGGCATATACATACTTGGAAGCAATATGTACTGCCTTCTAGATAACATGTTTTTCAGGCATGTCCAGGCTTATTTTAGCCTGACCAGCATGGCTGCGTAATCAGAGTGTGGGTGCTAGACTGGCCTGCCTGCAGTCCAGATCTGTCTCCCATTGTGTGGCACATTATGATGCACAAAGTAGAACAAAATCCTTGTATGGCTGTGCAGCTGAAGGCTTACATAACAGAAGAATGGCAAAAATTCCACTTTCAAAAGTGCATTAATTGGTGTCTTTAGTCCCCAGATAATTTTTATTTGCTGTTAAAAGGAAGTGATGTAACACAGTGGTGTGTCCCATCTTTTTTACATACTTTAAACATATTTTAAAAAGATAAATTTCATATCAAATAGCATGCTTTGTAATGTTTAATACAGGGCAGAACATAATTTTGCAATTAATTTTTGTACAAGAAGCATAATTCTGCAGTGTGAAGGTTTTCTATGACTATTGTGAAATCATATTACAAAAAGAGGATAATGAGAAAACCATGCAGTGTTAGGGCTGGGCAAAATGATAATATATGTCATTATCATGAAAAATTCTGCCACAATACAAACAATATGCTTTCTGAACATATGTGTATCGTCAGTACTTGTGGAACACTGACCAACTGCATGTTTCATTATAAAAAGAGCAAAATTTGTCTCATTTAACGGTCCTAAATGTCCTGGTCAGATGTCTAAAAAAAATTTTGTAACTTATCTTGTCATGAAAAAATCATATCATGAAATCTTTATATAAAATCGTGATATTATATTTTTACTGTATCTCCCTCCTCATTGTAGTGCATGAGATCTGTCCCCCTGTATTACTACAGTACAATTTCAGACAGTGCAGCTCAGACAGTTTACCTTTGAGCTGGCTTTCACCGTTTTTCTCTTTTTTCATTGATGCATAGCAGTGTCATCGTTATTTTGGCTATTACATTTTTATTAGTGTTATTAGTGTTTTGGTTAGTTGGAAGTTTGTCCAGTTCTTTCACCATTAGAAATTGCTATTTAATTTGTGAATTTCATGTTGAACACTGATTTTAAAAAAAGACACAAACAATACAACACAGAGACTTTGTAAATAATAATAGATATCAAAAATATATTACCTGCAGCCTTACTGGCACATTATATGGTTGTAATAATCAGTGATCTATCTTCAACCCGTTCTCTGCAGAAGAAAAGCAACGGGGCTGGCGTGGCAGTGTCTGACGAGCGGGTGGACTATGTAGTGGTGGACCAGCAGCGCACTCAGGCTCTGAAGAGCACCAGAGAGGCCTGGAGCGATGGCCGCCAGTCCACTGAAAATGACACTCCTTCCAAAGGGCCCAAGTGACCCATTCGCACCCCGTTCCCTCTCCCTTGTCCTCCGGGATCTGCACCAGGCTTGGGATCGGAGTGCCCCATGTGGAAGTGTGGATACCACACCTCCATCTCTTCCTTCAGCCCAGACCCCTATGTTTGATCTGGATTATACTGTGAGAGAGACCCCGGTTCATCGGCTGGTTTACACTGCCACCTGGCTGAGGGAAAGGCAACTGCATGGAGGAGAGTTGTCTTTGAAAGTGCCGTGTATAAGCTGAGAGACGATTACAGTTGGACATATTGTGCTGTGTCAGGGCTGAAGGAACTTCTAAACCTCGCTGGTTGAGAGCCCTGTGAAAACTATGCTAACATAGCAGCGAGAGACTTTCATTTGTATCAAGTGGACACTCGCTGCCTCCCCTAGTCATTAGGATTTTCCCCCCCTTTTTGGTATTAATTTTCAACCTGAGTTTTGTCACCACTCTTGTGTTCATATTGGGTCATGGAGTGATATGTTAACTGGTTGTTTGACTGACATCGCTGGGTTTACCACCTAACAACTCACACTTCTTTACACATTTACATATTAGATTTTGCAGAACTGCCATGATAGGGTCCTGAGAATGCTCTGTATCAGCAGGATGCATTCTGTTTTGTTAATTTCCAAGATAATCTGAAACTTTGGTACATCCTGGTTTCTTTTTTTATTTCTGGTCTTATGGTGGTTATCACATGTAAACCACTAGCGCAATCACAAGGTTTCGAGTGAAACGGAGAGAGAATTTTACCAAGAATTTTAGCAAGTAAGAATGCAAAACTCTGTATAGTGTTATGTATATTAAAGAAAGTGTCCTTTGTATTGAATATCTGAGATGTAAAGGCTTTGGTGTGACCTCTGCAGGATGGAAGTCTGCACCCTCAGAGTATCAGGAACTACGAAATGATCTAAGTGATGAAATCAGGAACTGTGATAGCTATTAAGAGTCAGTGAAGGCTCACTGTTTTTATTTTTTTGTTTTTTCTTCAATGCAAGGTATCAAAACAAGACAAGTGCAGACGTCAGGTACTCACTGAAATGATTAACACAGCAGTTGCTTTGTAATTTATTTCTTTTTTTTCCTTCACCTACACACCATGAAATTTGGTCTTGCGATTCATGTTCTCAATAGGGTTTTAACAGCTCAAGATAAGTTAGGATAAATGTTTTCAGCTTTTTCGCTGTATATGATGCCTTCTTGGAAGAAAAAAAGAAAAGAAAAGCCAGTCAGGTAGTTTTCAGGAGTTGTACATTGATTCTTCATTCCTTTTGTGACTGGTCTTTTGATATATTTTATTGCCACTTTGATAATGATAATTTATTTCAGATGGACGTTTCATAGTTTCTGGAGATTAACTGCCTTATCATTACAACTTTTACTATTTGAACGTTGTACATATGATCAGCTGTGTAATTGTAGCTAAAGTTAGAGACTATATAGACTTTCACTGCGTGCGTAAGAAAAAGCTTCACTAACTACCAACTTCTTAAGCCAAGGAGACACACAGACGTGTGTTGCAGCACCGTCAGTGGCTTTCGCTGTATAGACCTGCACAAACTTTGAAGCCTGTTCTCTTTATTCAGATCTCTAATTATGCTCTCTCCTTTCTGTTTAGCCTTTTTCTTTACAAGAGCATTCTGCAGCAAAGTAAACCTCAGATTTTCGTGATGCTTTATATCTTTTTTTAATGAATCAGAAAGAAATGTACATTTTAAAATAAACTCAATAAAAAAACTGACATGCATCTTACAATAACTGACTCCAAGTGTAGCCACATCTTTATGATGTTTATGTTTATAATGCTTGTTTGTTACTAACAAAAAAAATTAAAGGTGAACTTAAGAATTGAAGGATGTTGCTACCACTGTGCACCAACTCAAACTTCCAGCACAGCCATAAAGTGAATTGAGGGAGATCATCTTTTTTGTTCAATAAACAAAAATGTTCTCCCCAGTTTGGTCATGGCATGTTCCACCTGCTAGCTTGGTTTCCCTGATCAAACACCGCTACAAAGCTGGGAGGGTGAAGGCTAGTAAGTGCTTTCTCAGAGACATGAGGAAAGAAGTGCCTTTAATGCAACGCCATTGGGCAGATCAACACACTGGGAGAATTGGCAGTTCTGTTACGTTAGCTAACTGCATGATGAGTGTGGAGGAAGAGCCATCCTACCCACCCAGAGAGAACACAGCCCATTATGCTGTCTTGAACTACTGGCCATGGAAGGTTGTGTTATTGCCAGATATTGAACTTGCTGTTTCCCAACAATACAGCAAAATTTCACGTCGAGGATGTTCTTATGGAGATTCATTTTACACCATTATTTAAATGAAAAGAGAAACTAACAAATATGGATCATTTGTCATCTTTCATTTTAAGATAATGCGTTTGGTTTTGTAGTATTATTATATTTATACTAATTTTTAAAATTCTGATTCAAAGTGAAATATTCCACTTCTTAAAAGAGCCCTATTTTGTTCATTCTGCTATATTTTTTGCAAAAAACTGGTGCTACAATGTATTAAAAAGTGGGATATTCTACTGACAAACAAGATAATCCTAATGTGATCATGGTGTTTAGTTTATACAGGTCTGTTCAGACTAAATTATTTCAAAGTCCTGAAATAGCCACTTATGCCTGAGAGCAAACTCTAAATAGGAAATTCTAAGCTAACATCTAATTCTGAAAATATTAAGGCTGTAGTTTTATCAAGCATTGTAATTCCTGTTATTTGGTTTTAAAACAAGTTGACATTGATTTATTTACAGTGACTTTACATTTTAAATAGTATCTCACTTCATCTTTCTATTTGTCCCATTCAAACTAAAAAGGAAGACTAGAGGGGTCAGATTCTCTTGAAGGAAATGCAGCACTGGGTGGACAACCAAACGTTTTTTACCATACAAATAGACAATAGGCTTCAATTTAACTGAAACTGATATTACTGAGGTGCAGGTGAGCACCTTTGATGGACAGGTATGATCTCCTTATCAAATTCATATAAGGCACTAGAATGCAGTAATAAGAGTGTGAAACATGTTTCTGTGGGAGGAGCTCTAGACCACACTTAGATTTGCAAAATCTCTAAAGGTCCTTGAGCTTCCTGAACTTTGGCAGGGAGTTTGCTGGGTAGGACCCCCTTTTGCTCTCAGAACAGCCAGAGTTCTTCATGGCATGGATTCAGCAAGGTGCTGGAAACAGTGTCTGGTCCATTTTAACATGATTGCACTATGTTATTGCTGTGGATTTGTCCTGTACATTCATGCCTCAAATATCTTGTTCTAGCACATCCAAAAGTTGCTCTGTGGGACTCAGATCTGGGGGATGGGGAGGCCACTGAACGTCATCGGCATGTTCGTGGAACCAGTTTGAGATAACTTGTGCTTTGTGACAAAGTGCATTATCATGGAAATTATTTATTCATATACTAATAAAGTGGCCAGAGAGTGAATAAATAGTGAACAAATAATACAATACCACACAATGCAATATGTTTTCTATGTGGCTCGATTATTAGATTGGAACGCTATATAATGCACAGCTTTGTTATATATAGTACTTTTATATTATAGATTGCTCTGATAACGTGAAAATGGAAACATTAACATTAACATAAAGCACATTCCTGCCAATATACTATAAAATTGGGTAAATGAAGGCAAATAAGGAATGTTAATTGTATTTCATACAGAAATTAGTATAGTATATAGAACTTGTTCTTCTTTCACACACTTGAATATATGATAAACATCACTGATATGTGAATACATAAAAATGTTACCAGATGTTACTAACATGCAGTGAAAAGACTGGTTCAGTTGGTTCAATGTTCCAGAAGGCCTTGATTTTACCATCACTACCTATGGGTTCAATGATCATTTTAAAAGATGAATGGTCTAGCTAATAATGCGATAATAACGTTAATAGTTATGAATTATGTTAATAATAACAGTTTTAAATAACAGGCTTTCTGTGGGCTAACTGGACCACATTGTGTCCTCATTACAGTTTCTCCTTGCATACGGCTAAGCTAGCAGGCTCCAATAATATTCAGAGTAAAGCTTTGAGTTTAAATCTTAACTGAAAGAGTCAGCATCCAAGCTGTATCATCCAAAGTGAAGAATGTTACTTGAATGTCTGCTACAAGCTTCAGATGTCAGCATTCAATTGGCAGAGGCTGTTATGCAATGCAAATAATAACCACCATATACTTGATGCTAACATAACATCGAAACCCCCTTTACCAGGCTAACAGAAATTAGCATTACCTTATCAATGGTAAAATGAGCAAACAAAAGCTACTTCCAAAGTGATTTAAGGTTTGTGTGTTAAACATTGCTCATAATTAAGCAGCTGTGGCTCTCAGTGTAAACAGTCTACAGTAAAAAAGCTCTGCTGCAGCTCTCAAACATGACACAGTGACCACCATGTTTACCCCGCTCTTTCTACTAAAACAGCCAACGACAGCTGACAATGAATTGTCATATAATCGTGATTTCTGACCGACACTGTAATACAAGCCTAACGTGTCTAAATTGGCTAATTAGCTAGATTTGCTAGATAATGTATTTGGTAAAAGGAGGAATATGAACAACAACATGAACACCTTGCTCTGTGTGCATACGCTCACAATGTGTCAATTAAAGCTTCTATTTCCTGTTGAAAAACATCATAAAAACCATATAAAGTTTCTGTTGGTTCCTGGAGGTGCCCAATAGTCTGTAATGGTAGAGATGGTCTTCTTTCCAACAAGATTTGTTCTCTCGGGACTGTAAGCTAACTGTTTATCTATTTTAATTGCTAGTTAGCTTACTTGTTAGCTAAATCAAGGTTATACTTGCATGAATTAAAATGCACTTTTCTCCACACACACACCCACACAAATGTCTACACTTGCACAGAATCGTATGTAGATTCAAGTAAAGCTCACATTTTCTCTTGAATGTGAAAACATTAGAAAAACACTCGTTCTGTGGCTGCTAGCTCGTATACTAAAAACATTAGCTTTATATGCTCCATTAGCTAACGGCACCTTAGCAAATTCTTTACAATGGGATTATTGTAAAAAAAAAAGCAATCGACATGCTAACATACTGTTTGAATTGAGGTTCTGGTGCATTTACTCGGAATTTACTGGTAATTCGATTTTATCCTCTACTTAAAGAGAAAAGATGTCATGAAATTGTGCTTTAGCTTCTGTTGCAAGTGTTACTAAACACAGCCAGGAGAGAACTTCCAACTGATTGACAGTACAAGCTCAGATAACTTCTTGTTTTAAATATAAAGCAGCTTAAAAAGATTTTGACCAGCAGTTGTTTCATACCTTCAAAAGAGGTGGGACTGACCCCTCTGCTGACCCCTCATACATCTGATCTTCAACTGCCCAGTTATTTTGATGTTATATAAAAGTTTCCCCATTTTTATCTTTGATGTAAATATTAATAGTTAAGTTCTTCGATCATGTCTGCATGATTTTATGCATTACGTTGCTGCCACATGAATGGCAGACTGGATGGCACGACTGACCAGGTGTGCAGGTGTTCCTAAAAGTCACCAGTGAGGTAGTACTGGGATGTACCAATAGAACATCGTATTGTATTGAATTGTTGGATTGTGGCTAGCATGTTAGCTTGTGGCTAGTGTTTTGGCTTGGGGCTAACATTATCTTGTGGCTCAAGCATTAGATCAGGACACTATAATGCATGGTTTTGTTTAATATTGTACTTTGACAAAATGGTTTGCCTCAATAAACTGAAAATGGAAACATTCACATTTTCACATAAAGCACATTTCTAGCCACTCCTTATTTTTGCTGTACTGACAAATGTTTTCTGCAGATCTCCTGACGTCTCTGCCGATATACTATTAAATCAAGTAAATTAAGAATGTTCCTTTTGTGTCATACAGAACTTACAAAGCCTACAGAAGTTACATTTCTCTCTCTTTATTTTTATACACAAACATATGATGAACATGACTGATATACAAACACATTAAAAGTTACCAGCAGATGTCTCCAGTGTGCACTGAAGAGATTAGTTCTTTGGATTCAAGGTTTCAGATTTTACCATCACCACCGTTTGTTTAAAGAACAGTTCTAAAAGATCCTTTATTAAAATGCTAGGCCAATGTTGCGGTGAGGGCTAACCTAAATGATTTCACAAATCAACTAAACAAGGAAGGAACATGGACCCAACCACCCTGGATTTAAACGTTATTGAATATGTTGCTCCATCGCCAGTGATTACAAATAACATTATTTGTAATATCTTGAAAAGGTTAAACGTGTTTTGCTCTGTTAAAATAATGTGACTGATATTTTATTCTGATCATGTGACCTATTGCTACTACGCAATTACAACCTACTTTGAGTTCTGACTTCACAAAGTGTTGTACTGGTTTAGAAATTTCATAGTCAGTTTCTTCCCACCCTTATAAATCTATATAGCCCACTATTTCCTATGGCTGTCCGCAGACATTCTCTGGCCTCACAAAGCTGCTCAGCACATTTAAAAACATATATATTTGTGGCATAGATTAGAAGGATTAGACATGAAGACTGCATAATGCAATAAAAGATACAAGTTATCATCTCCAGCTATACACTGATAGAGCACAACTTCAAATAATATCAAAAAGTTAAGCAAAGATTAGTTTTCCCTCTTCCCTTAGTGGTTATTTTGCTTGATTTGAATTGGGTAATACAAGTGTCTGATTCAGATAGAAAAGGGTTTGTAATTATGTTTTTGTAATAGCAAGAGAATCAAGTATCTTGAGAAAGTAGTCATGTTTTGGTTATAAGTTTATAAGGAAAGATGGAAAATAAATGTGTACTCATTTCATTTATATTTCCATTCCTCACACTGCATAAAAACAGTACTGCTGCACTGGTAACACACCCTGAGTCTAAATATGTTGATGGTAGGAAAATTTCAGGAGTATCCAGGCTTTACAGCTGCATGTACTGATAAAGTGAGGTGGTTCCCACAGTTAGCCAAAAGAGGACTGGCAGAAACAGATGGCCATTGGCACTATTGGTACTGGTTTGGATGGTGGAAGCAGAGGTAGCGGTAGTTGCAGGTGTGGTGGCGTTGGTTACGGGTTCAGTAGATGTAGCACTTGTGCTTTGTGGAACTGTAGCATTCAATGATCTGAAGCAAGTGCCAACATTTCCCACTGCATCCACCACCACCAGTTCCACCTGTGAGGCACAGCAGGATGCACTGTAGAATGCCAGAGTGACGTTCACTCCTCTGTCTAGCACAGTGCTGGTGTTGAGGGTGCCGTTTCCTTGGCGTACGGGTCATACTTTGGATGCCTGATCCGTTTCCATCAGTCATGTTAGCAGAGAGGTCCCAGGAGGAGAGGCTGCAGTTACTTGAGCAGTTAGCGTTGACGCTAATTATCTCACATACTGGAGGAGTAATGTCTGTTACCTTAAAGAAGCAGAAAAAAGTTGAGTTGCTACACAGCAAAGGTCAGTAATGACTTAGAGTTATGACTGCAATACATGTGTTTATAAGTTTAGCACAGTGATTCTCTATCCAGTCTTTTGGTGCCTCCAGATAGTCCACATTTTAGCTTTAACCCAATTTCCAACACACTGAACTAAGCTGTTAAGAGCATTGTACACCTGTTACAGTCATGTAAGGAGCTAGGTTAGAGAAATGACATGGACAGGCTGAGGGATCCTGTGGACTGGTTTGAGAACTGCAAGCCTAGCAGTAAAGCAGTAAAGATGTTAACTGTAATGACTTGGCAGTTTTTTCCCTAAGGCACCCTTGAAAGTCATCTATACAACAACCAACCTTTTATTCATTAAGTGATTCTGAGCAATGATCATGCTTTCGACAGCACACTGGAACACTAAATCAAATGTAAGCAGTTACCGGAGCAACAACAGAAAGCCGCAACACTGCGTAGTTGGAATCAGCTCCTCCAGGGGCTTCAGCTTCGATAGTCAGAGTGACGTCACTTCCTGAGGGGGTGCTTCCAGGAACAGCCAGAGTTACTGTGCCATTTGCACTGCCCCCACGCACAAGAGTCAGGGATGAGGAAACGTTGGTCATTACGAAACTGCGGTCATTACTGACTCTGATATTAAAGACTCCTCCAGAGCCATTGGTTGCCACTGTGAAGGGCAGAGTGAAGTTTTTTCCTGGTTCCAGTGTTCCATTAGCTTGAGTCTGAGGACACCACGACAAGGAATTCTGTTAGTCCCACAGTCCAGTACATTTAAGTAGATTAAGTAGTCAACTACACCTTGACCTTTTTTTTTAATCATCATTTTATATTTAAGAACATCTTTGAGTCACTTTTAAACCTTGAGTAAAATCTGCACACTCACTGTGACTGTCACACTTGATGCTTGGAGCTGAGTTGAGGACTGTCTCTGAAAGAGGCCGTTTGAAGCCTTAGACGAGCTGCTCTCTCCAACTACACGGACAACAAACTCTCCTGCTGGAATGCTGCTGATTGTCACCATGTATTGGTCACTTGCAACCTCTTGCAGAGTCCCATTATAAGAGTTGGAACTTGATGCCTCAACCAGAGCTACTTCTGTAAGCCTCACACTGTCCCCACCCACCATGGAGACCAGCAGAGTGATATTGCTGTCTGAATGGAAGGCAATAAATGAATGAATACACAATTTAATCAACTCATCAGTTATAGATGAATGTTCACTTACTAGCTGTGGGCCTGCTGTTCAACACAGCGTAGTTAGGATGAGGCCAGTCAGAAAGTTCTATGAAGTTGAACAGGAAGTCAACCCCACTTTGACCTGGACAGTGAATAAAAAAATAAGAGAAGATCAATTTATGTTTGATATCCATTTAATAATCTTTGTATACTGTCTGGACATATTCATAAACTACATAAACTTTATAGGCAGCAGACTCCATATCTGTCATTCTTCTGAGCATATATGAGCAAGAAAGATCTACGAAGTGTGTTCATTTTACCAAGAACTTTGACGGTGTAGGGCTGCACTGAGTTAATGCTGATGAGCCACAGTCCTGTCTGGGCTGAGACATTTGGATGCAGCGTGTGGAAGTTACCAACCTTCTCAATAAGCCCCAAAGCCCCACTTGGTTGGGAGCTGGTCTGTGAGCCTCCTAGATTAAAATTAAAATTAAGATTAAAAACAAAACACATTACTTGATCCAATACATGATCTGCACTGTCTTCATGTCTGTGGAGGGTAGCTTTTGCAAGGGTTGTACTATCTTAGAAAGAGGCTTTGAGGGAGAGCAGGGCACGCCCTAATACAGGGTAAAATGTAATAGATTATTTTATGTAGTTAAAGTTCAGTTAACAAACAAATTAAAATTATGTATTACTTAATCCAGGTGCAGTCAATCAGCCTAGTCATGTTAGATATCTGATGTGTGCTTCATTGGTTTATAGTGGGAAATGCTAAGCTAACATTGCTGACAAATCCTGGACTTACACTGTCACCGATCTCATCTCTGTAAATAATTGCCAAAATCATAATTTGTTTGCTTCAAAAATCTGCTGAAAAGCAAAGTAAACAAAGGAATAAACGATCAAGTAAGACAGCGTGGATAGACCTTATTTGACCATTTAAGCTAGAACTGAAAGGGTGTGTAGACCTCATTACACAAGAATTACATCTGTTTGTTAGCATATCTAAGGCTTCATAACTGTAAGAAAGCTAGATAGAAATTGCATCTTGAATTATGATAAAGCTACAAAAATGCGACATTTCATTTTGTATAAATGCAACAAACAAATTTCAGCGTAGTCTGCTATATTTTAACTGGGTAAGATTATAAATATGTAAAATGCACACATTATGGGCTACATGTAAAACCTGCTCAAGCGATAATGTTTTACTTGGTCCTTGCAGGGATTGATTGCTTTTTCCAGTTTATTTTATGAATAAGGAAACTGTCTCTAGAACAGCAGGATTTATCAGAAGTTGGTATTTGTCTTTTTCAGTCACACATATTTTCTGACCATGTTCAGTGTTATTTTGTTCAAGCGCTGACATCAAAAGCTTCTACTGCCCACAGCAGAAACACTCCACCTCAGTTGGCATCTCCCACATACACACCCAGTTCCACACACATGCGGAGTTGCCGGTATGTATGTCCAGCATTTAGCTGATGCATTCATGTGTGCTCTCAGGTTGAAACATATTCAGTTGAGGCTCCATACCATGGGCGTTGCTAGGCCAATTTTAGGGGGGCTTTAGATGTTATTTAGCCCCCCTTTCCTAGGTAAATGTACATCACTAGGGCAAATCATCTATAGTTTATTTTTATTCACACTGTAATAGCAAGGCGCAACCTGGGGGAGGCACTGCTGCTGCTCTAATGCAGTGCTGCCTCTGCTGTACAGCCAAGAACGGTTCAGCCAATCACATCAGAACTTTTAAATTGTTAGCCAATCATTTCAGACCTGGGGGTCTCTGTTTATGCACTGGAAAGTAATCGGTAACCGAGCTGAAGACGGTAAACATTACGCCTTTTTCAAAATCTATAATGTACAGAGTGAAACAGTGTTAGAGTGAATATATCCTCCTACAGTATGGATCTGTGGCAAATTATAGTCAGTATAGCTGGATATGTTTTTTTTGCTTGGTTGTTTAACACCAGCTAATTTTAGTTAACTTTGGGTTTAAATGAAGTAAAGAAAAGAGGCTAGGCTAACACTAACATTAGCTAACTAGCTGACCCAGTTTAACCTCATAGAGTCTACGCTTTAACCTCACTTCATAGTTAGTGTGAGAGTGTGAACAAACAAGAGGGATAGAAACAGAGGATAGATTTCTCATCAGTATTTGGAAACAATGACACCTGTATTTACAAAATATTGTTATTTACAGTAAGAACCAGGCTGAAGTTGCTTCAGCTTTGTGTGAAAAGATCATCATAACATAGTTTTATATCCCTCAATTCCTCAACCTGTAAATGAGAAATTAAGAGGTAGCAGCTCCGTCAAAGCCAGTCAGATTAGAAGATTTTTACCAATTAAAGCAAAAAAATTAAATTGATTGTTATTTTCTTGAGTTCTTGTAAATCTGAGTTTAATGAGATTATTGTATTACTAATCACAGGAAGATGGGGAGAAAGAAGCTGAAGGAGACTGACAGGACTGAAGGAGCAGATCTGATGGAGGTTAGTGATCAAGAAGAAAGTGAGTGAGAGAGAGAGAGAGAGAGAGAGAGAGAGAGTTGTATAAGCTTTCGGTTAAAAACTAATGCTGAATTTAATTTGACTTAACTGAAAAAATATTTGCCACCAGGACCAGGAAATTCTGTCACATAGATTATTAAACATACCTACAGAGCAAAATCACACTCTTTCTGATTGCACCAACTAAGACTGAACTGATCTATAATCTGTGTGTTTAAATAATATATTGTAAACCTTGCAGCTTATCTAAGAAAGAGGAGAGAGCATTGCTTGACTTCAGTACCTTTGCTTGACCAGAGCCTGTTGTAAGTGGATGGATACAGTGTTTGTTATACTGGCTCTGTGCTTAATACAATCTATGAAGAGACAGATCTACTGTGTGCCTGTTTGATCAAATAAGCATTTTTTGATAAACCTAACACGACTGTTGTGCTTGACTTTTTCCAGCTGTTGCTATTCTAAAAGTATAAACATTTTGGGGCCATTAAAAAATTTCTCTTTGGGGAGGATGCCCCCAGATCCCCCTAGTACAGGCTTTAGCCCCCCTATCCATGAACCTCTAGTGATTCCCCTGCTCCATACAATAGCTTAGCTTCTCTGCCAAGTTACCTTACAGCGCAGCTGTGTGTTTAGGAATCCTTTAGAATATGCAGAATAATAAAAAAGGTATAGTGCTGAGGTAAACATGGGTCCAGTTGCTCATAATGGCTGACCCACCACTCAACTATGTGGAGAAGTTTATTTCTGTTTTTATAGACTAAAGTAAGTCATTCTGTGTTTAAACCACACTGAAACAAATGAAGATCTGGATGTGGTTTGAGTGGGTTAAGAGACGTATTTACAGAGATGAGATTGGTGAGAATCGAAGTCCAGTGTTTGTTAGGAATGTTAGCCTAGCATCTCCCGTTCAAAACTAAAGAAGCAAACTTCAGATACCAAACATGTCTTGGCTGATCAACTGCATCTGGAGTCAGTGATAAATCATGTTAATTAGATTTTTTTTTGCCAAATTATTCCTTCAAACAGTTGTGGCAATAAGTGGTCATCTTAATGCCACCCTCATTGTTAGTAATAATGTTAGTGGGATTAGTTTGGATTAGGTTAAATAGCTTTCTTCTTCTATCAGAACAGAGCTGGGGGAGTCCACTATGATGTTGGTTTGGGTGACCATATGTCTTCTTCTGGGTATCTAAAAACCCCGGAAATCCTGGGATTTCTTAATTGCTAAAATGTCTGGTATTAAGCTTTGCTTCCATATTGACATTTTGCTCTCTACAGTCTGCCCTGTGCTGCTCATCTCGTTCACAAAACGCATAATTGTACTGAATTAATTGTATTACAACTGTTGGTGGTAAATACACCTCATCCTGTAAGTGGTAACCCTGCCTGTGGGTTCTAACATTTGCACTCGTCCCACTTATTCACAAAGAGTGGGTGCCTAAAATGCAGTTTTGTGTAAGATGCTTGCTCAGCTTTTTTTTACAATCATTTATCAAAAACCAAAATTCCTGCTCAGCCCTACGTTTCGTTTACAAACCAAGTACCTGAAGGACTAGTGATGGTGTAGTATGGAGAGTTGCCTGTGATGTAAATAGTCAGGTTTTGCAAAGTGGAGTCCACAAAGAATGAGAAGTTTTCTGCTTTTGCTGGGTTTCGTACAGCCTGGAAAACAGTGACCTGAAGAAACAGAAATGCTGATGTCACTTATTTCTCATTTATCACCCTGAAATGAAAGAATTAATTTGCACACACAAAAAGTTACTTTCTGCATACAGTACTTGATGTATGCTTATGTAAAAGCTGTAAAACTGGGCAACCTTTCAAAGAAGGATAGAGTAAAATCATTTAAAGGAGCCCATCAGTCAAAAATGACAGTGTTTATTATAATGTTATTGTGATTAATTAGCATTCTGTTAAAAACATTTCTTCCTCCAGCCGCTGGTTTATTTGACTACTTAAATTACCAGAGAGGAGCTGGAGGTGTCCACTATGATGCTGGTGGCCTGGGGCAGTGTTGCTTTAGTGACCTCAATGGCTTGACCCCCAGAGGCCTGAGCCAGATCCTGGTAGACCTCATTTAATGGGTTGGAGAGTCGACTGGCGAATTGCTGTTGGCCATCTTGTTGCCCACCACTGCTCCGGCGGCGCCGGGCACCAAGAGCATTAGTCAGCAGGAAGCTCACCTTCACGTCAGGAAAGGAGGAAGGTTTATTAAACGTTTTGCCCACATTTTTCAGAACTTTTATATCAGATGAGTCATGACAGAGGCAAGACATGATGAATTCATGCAGATGTTTTGGTAGGGTGCCAATAAAACTTGTGAGCCAATGGCTGTGCTCGTAGGTGGAGTAAGAGGTCAAGCAGTGAGTTATTAAGACAGTAGAATAATGTGATTGTGTAGTGTGATCGTTTTTTTCATAAAAATAACATAAATGCTTATTATTGCAGTGTATGAGATGCTAGCTGTACTAGCTGTGTTTTGTGTTTATTTTTTGGATGGTGTCAGTAATATAAAGCGAAAGCACGGTGTAGTGTGTCTTTAAAGGGGAACATGGAATAGTTGCAGCATTTGTTTATAGCAGTTCGCATGTAAGAAAAGTACATCCACTTTGTACTGGATTACCATGTGCACAAATTATTAGTATTCAACACCAAACATATCAAATGAGATGTCCTTCACTCAGTCACGTCTCTTTCACAGCTATGCCAACAATAAACACGTATCCTATTATCAACTTAAGTTTCACAAGAGAATGCTTTATTCAGATTTAACCACATCAACGTATAAATGGACTTTCATCGTGTTTTGACAAGACCGCTAATGACTACATGAGGTGGAGGCATAGAAATACGTCACAGTTTGCGATTAAAAACACCTCCATGTGGGATGTATGTGTATTTCCTCCTATGATTATTGACAAGTCTATTCTTGGGGTAGGTTTAGTGGGGGAGACCAAAGTGAGCCATTGCTGCTGTCTGGTGGAATTCTGAGGAATTCACATGTTGTGTAATAATAATAATGTAGTGTAACAGCAAGCAAATATACAAAAATATTAAAAATAGCAATTTTTATCTTCAACTTTTAATTTATTAATTCACTCGTTCTGTAAACGAAAAAAATAGTTGTGACTAGTGTTGTCAAAAAAATAAAAGTCCCTTTTTGTTGGTTGACTTTGCTGTGCAGGTTTGGCTTTCTGTTCTGTGCAGCTGTGCCACACACACGAGTGTCTGTAGGCCACTGTTTTCCCTTATTTTTCTTTCATTATATATTTTTTTGCTTTTGCAGTTTTAGAAAGAGTGTGGAATATTATAAAGGTTATAATATCTTGAAATTGTTGTAACCTTAAAAAATTGCACCTTTATTTGTTTTTATTTGGTTTGTTTAATTTAGGCTAGCTGCTGGCAGGGAAGAGAAGCACATTATGTCCTAACCTTGCTTTCTTTAACTTATGGTGTTTAGAATCATTTGTTGCTTTTGTTGCTTACTTTGTTGTACTTTTAGTTTTCTTCTAGTGGGTGTGTTTAATTTTGTATTTACTTTTTATGTGCGAGTGAAACTGATACTACATTCAAATTCAAGAGAGCGATATTTATAATACCCAACACATGGCAAAGTTGAAATTAATGAATAGCTAAAATAAAATTGTAACAATCAATTAATAAATGACATACATAAATAATATCTAACAACAGACATTTTAAACTTCAGCTCTAAATAGAAGAGACTACTTGATATAAATGATCACATGAATCATGGAAATTGCATTCTACAGGCTACAGAATCAGTGGAGCCTTCAGGCGGTCAGACAGCTACAGCTGTGGAAAGTGCTCTTAATAAATGTGAATCCACAACAATAAAGGCAAGTCTGACCTACAGTCATTTTTTATCGTGACTGTTGCAGATGGAAACAAGCCATACAGGACTGTGGGCAGAAGTGGGAGCAGGATGAAATTTGTGGGAGCAGGACTATAAAAATCAGTCCCACACAGACATCTACTCTAATGGTTACCCTTTTTTTTATAATTAATTTAGTAAAAGGTTTTTGGGGAAGGTGTTTTTCTTCTGTCTTTTTTCTATCCTTTATTAACAGTTGTGAAGTCATGGATGCTGCTTGTTAGCTGTGTATTCTCGATAGTTTCACTTTCACTGGTGGAGTTTATTGGCCGTTTATTAATAGTGAGTTTACAGTCTATAGCCTGCTGTGATTAGCAGTCTATAGCCTGCCGTGATTTCTCTTAGTGCTGTTAATAGCTAATATATGTTACAGTGACAAACTACACTAATTAACTACGTTTGGGGTAAGGGGGAAATTTATGTAAATTATTATTGTTTATGTTTTTGCTGCCATTTTGCTCATGTTGAGGCAAGATCATAAACATACATAAAGGACTGACTTGTGTGTGTCTATGAAGATTCTGAGGTACTCACTGAAGACTTCGTTCTCTCAATCAGTGCCAGCACAGTGCTCTTCAACCATAAATCCTTCGCATCAGCATCCGTGAAAACAAAAATCTCAGTCTGTGGTGGTGAGCCAGTGAGGGCCAGCTGTGGAGAAAAGCACAGACATCCACTTGTGCACAATGTTTAATTATTTATTTATCCTTTATTTTTTGTGGAGACAGGAGAACAGGGCTGCACAGGAGTTGGTTGGCACAATATTCAAGGGAAATTCCACCAGTTTTTCAAAAGTTCTTCACGGTTACATTTGTAAGATGTAAAAAAGTCATGCAGGGTGGTTTTATGTGAAATGCTACGTTTTCAGAATTGTAACGAGTTGGAATTGTTCACAGGGGTGGTGACAGAAACCAGACATCACATTTCTTGTAAAATGTCTCTCAACATTTGACTGTTTTCCAAGGCTGAAGTCAGCTTCTTATTCGCCATGCAGCTTCTTGTTCGAAGTTTCCTGTTCCACCTTAAATGGTGCCTGAGGCGCCAGAACGTAAACGCGGCACCATTTAAGGTGGAACGGGAAAATTTGAAAGAGAAGCCGACATCTTCACAACTTTTTAGTGTTTGACAAATTGGAAGTGAATTAAAAAACTCTGTCGCAACTTTTATTGCCAAGGATTAGAGTCTGTTCGGTGTCATTGGCTGTGTTTACATGCAACGATTTTTGCCAATCCGACTGAATACAATCTGATTACAGATTTAGACTGAGGTGTTTATATGCACTCTATTCAACAATCTAATGGAAAATCTTCCTTTACATGCTCACTACAAGTAATCCGATGCAAAATGACGCGCATGCGTGGAGTAGCGCTTAGAGTAAATGTTACCATGACAGCGAACATCACGTGAGGTCCAGACCAGTTTCTGCTCCGCCATGTTGAGCGGTGTAAACTTTCGCCGTGACGCGACGCACATGCGCAGAACATACTTACACGTTCCGATCGGAATGTAATCGGATTCAGGCGTTTACATGGCTATTATTCTTCTATTTAACGGATTATTTAGAAGTTTACCCACCTCATTTAATCGGATAGAAATTGTATTCCGAATGGCCTCAATCGGATTAGACTATTCCGATTGAGGTGTTTACATGGACGTATTCTATTCCGATTGAGCTATTAGTCGGATTATTAACGGATTATCAGGCTGCATGTAAACGTGGCTATTGAGAACCAGGGCTTTCACGCTTTGCTGCCCACTTTGGAGCTGAGATACAATGTCCCGTCTCAAGCATATTTTACTGACACAGCAATCCCCCCACTCTCTACTACGAGACCAAAACTGAAAAGTCACTGAATTAAACGGGTAGGATGGCTGTAACATGATGCGTGGACATCCATTGCCACAGGATCTTATTTCACCGCAACTGCACATTTTATCGCAGATGACTGGCAGCAGCATCTCATGTGCTCCAAACAAGAGCAGTGAATGAGAACCTTCCAGTTCACTTACCACATCACTTCCATTTGTTTTATTAATAAGATATTGGAAGTAAATTTATTATGGACTATTACAAATACTTTGCTTTAAAAGTACAAAGTTGTCACACAGTGAAAAAAGAAATCCTGTATAGAAAAAAAATCCTTTTTTAAAAATCGTTTTATAATCGCATCGCAGCCCTCTGAATCATAATCGAATCGAATCGTGAGGTGCCTAAAGATTCCCACCCGCTAATATATATATATTATTTGACTACTTGTACATTTTATTTTATTGTAACATATTTTATTTGTTTGTAATGTCAGTGATGAAATAAATTCCTGAGTGTTCAAAAATGTTATTTGGTTGGCTTTGGGTTTAAAGTTAAAGCTCTGATTGTTTCTCTGTGTTGCTTCATTATGCAGAACTGTAGGCTTTTACCATTCCCTGACATGTGCCAACCCACCCAATCCTAAGGCTTGTTGCCACATGTGCACAACGTAAATTTTGTCATGAATGTAGTAATTTCAGGAATCATCTCATTAAAAAAATCGGTAACACTTTATAATAAGGGTACATGACCTGTCAGTAATTAAGGCATTTACTAATGAATAACTAATCAGAAAATAATGAGTCATTAATCAGGAACAAATGAATAAGTCATATATTAACAACCACAAGACTAAATTACTAACGCATGTATTAATGAATGAAGATGAAGGTAATAAAGTCTTTATTCAGTGCCTGAATTAATTAGGAATTCATGTGTTAATTAAGCATACATAAAGAATGTTAGTACACATTGGCGAACTGCTAGAAGCTCTGTTAGTTTCATTCTATTCATGCAATTAATGATTACCTATGTCATACTGCAATGTCATACTGTTACAACAGAAACATAAACTGTTGTATGTTTAATAAACTGTAAACTAGTTTATTTACTGAAAATAGAAATTTGATTTAATTAAAACTGTGAATTATCTTAATATATGCCACAGTTATTCTGAGAAATACCACCTTCAGAAAATGAAAATGTGTTTCCCATATACATCTATTATTCTTTTTAAAAATTTGCTATATCTAAATGTTTTATTAATGGAAACACAGCATTTTGCAATGTAACACTTCAACTGTTTCCAGCTGGAAATTACTGCTATTTTTCTTCGCCAGTAAATGGCAGTAATTGCGTTAAATGCTATATGTCAAGCAGCCATAGAGACTTGAGTGAATATCTCTTGTACAACAAATAATATAAAGAAAATCTATATTTCTCTTTTCGCCTTTTTTGCAATATTTCGCATTTTTCTTACTTTTAAAGGTGAGTTATGCATATGCATACTGTATTATATACGTAATTTACATCGCAGATATAATATTTACACGTGGTATTGTTGTCTGAGTGTTGTGAGTGCTAGTATGTATGTTCGTGCCTCACCTCTTTTTAGACTAAGGTGTAAAACATGCAGCTGTTATCTGTGGTGAAACAGAACGGATTTGCAGGAACTATTATTTGTAAATTTGTTGTAAAGAAGCTTAAATAATTGGTTTGGTGCTTAGTTATTTGCAATAAACCTTTTGGATTTAATAGTAAGGTTTTTGTGTTTCTCACGAGCGTCGTGTGATTGTAGTAGTAATATGTGGCGTCAGGCGCGTCTATTCTGTCCGGTTAAAATCACATGTTAATTTCATGCTGCTTGGTTCATTTGTTATTCCTCCTTTGACAGGGACTCTTATTGTGAAGGGCTATGTGTGCGGTGGCAGTGCTTCACAGGGCCTAGTAGTAAATAGACTGAGTCGGGACAGCGAGAGGGCGCGCTAACTGCGCTTAGCCAAGCGCTGACCTAGCGCCGTGTTCTCCCCTTTCTTTTCTACTCCGGGAGTTTTTCAGTAAAGCTGAGTCACAGACTCGATCTTCAGCTTGTGTGAGTTATTAAGGATTCTTATGACCCCAGAAGAAAGACACTCCAATAATGAACTCATTTCTGAGTTCAGGGGTAACTGTAGGCTAAACTATTCCCTCATGAGGGACTGTGTATCAATACAGGAGTTAAAACATGTAATATTATTAACATGAAAGATACATTAAAACTATGGTAACTGTCACAAATGAGGACTAGTTGCAAAACAATGTCAGTGTAAGCTTTTCATTTTACTAAACAGTCACTAGGTGGGTAGAAACAGACGAGGTAACATAAGAAATCAAAAACAATAAACTCGAGACCTGACAGATAGAAACAGGCAAATACAAGGGCTGCTTACACAACATGATGAAGAAGAAGGACAAGATGATGAGAGGATGGAGCTATAAAAAAAACAGTTGACTTTGATAGGCATAATATTCCTGAGCACTGTGTCTCAGGGGGTTTTGTGACAACATTAATTAACACATGAATTCCTAATTAATTCAGGCACTGAATAAAGCCTTCATTACCTTCATCTTCATTCATTAGTATATGCATTAGTAATTTAGTCTTGTGGTTGTTAATATATGACTTATTCATTTGTTCCTGATTAATGACTCATTACTTTCTGATTAGTTATTCATTAGTAAATGCTTTAATTGCTGCCAGTTCATGTACCCATATTATATAATGTTACCAAAAAAACTGTTTAAGATAAGATGTTTCAGCTTTCATTTGCTGCTAGTTGAGTTGTACTAATGCATGGTGTGCCTGGGATATACGGCAGAAAGTAAGAACTGTGCAAATCAACCTGCTCTCCCTACTCCTCATTATTTCATGAACTTCTCTTGTGAATTAGCTATGGCCATTAACAACATGACTGGCAACCAATCAAATGCTGTCCAGTTAAAGTGTCATATTAGATGATATGAGTACCAGAATTTGGACTTGTGAGGTTGTTATATGTATTATGTTTGTAGTGTTTCTAAACTGGTACCTTCCTTCACTATCTGCCCTCTCATTCTGAGCATGGTCTTTAGCTATGATTTTTTTTTTCATCATAAACCTCAAGATAAGATCAAATATTCCAGGATAATTATTTTGGGATAATTATTCTGAGAAATGCAGATAAACTTAAAAGTATTCCCTACTCTGCCCTGTAGGCTGGAAGTTGTGTATCTGTGATTGGAACTATTCTAATGGAAACTGACCACTATATGGCATTTTATTTTGAATGTGGTCTTAAATACAAAGATGTTATTTCAGTGCTCACTAAGGCCTCGTTCAGACTGCCAGCCCAAATCTGATTTCTGGCAAATACAGAATGTATCCAGATGTATTTTTGATAGTCTGGACAGCAAAAAAACGGCATGGAATTTAGATTTTTCTAATCAAATCCAAAGCACATTTGGAGATGCGATTCCAATTGGATAGTTTCATGTGTGTCTCACTCTGGACACTCTGGCTGCTTAATTTGGGTTTCAAAGTGTCTTTTGCAACACGACGAACAGCGGCAATGTCAAACTTGCATCATCAGCATAGCTAAATTCTTACTGATGCCTACATTGTTACCACAGCACCCCATGCAGATAGGATGGTGAGTCTGGACACGCAAATCTAGTCTGATCAAATGCAAGTAACAATGCGGACATCAGAGCGCTATTTCAAATGTGTTTTAAAAACACAACAGACTGTTTTGTTTGCTGAACCACAAACTTTAAGCCCAGTTTTAACCAGAATGCACTCCAAAATGCAACAAGTGTGCATGAAGTGAACAGTGCTCCTTCAACTGTCTGGAGTGGGTGTAACTTTAAATACATAAATAACCTGAGACATTTGTATTGAGGAAATTATATTGAGAAAATATGTTGAAAATATCTTAAGATAATTTAAGAAACAAAAATGCTTGTCATGAGGCTGTTTTTTATCCATTATAGAAAACCTTCTCCTTTAAACCTAATCCTTTATCCCTTATGTCCTTTCGTGGCCTCTGTATTAATGCCTTTATATTTAGAAAAGGATAATATTTTGTAAATAATATAAAAGAATGTATCATCAAAGGAATGAGAAGGCATTATCCAAAAACATGGCACTGAAACACCACTGGACCCTGCTGTGAATACCTGGAGACCTGAGAGGCACATTTCTGGAATATCTCCTCCACCATCAGCTGTAAGTGCATTAATTTTACTCTTAAACACATCAGGATCAGTTGTTCTTGTCAGAGGCCCATAGTCTGAAGGAATGTAAAATGAGATGGAACATATGAACATACATTTTGTAAAGTGTTAGACATGGTACTATATAAATAAATAATAATTATTATTATTAGTAGTAGTAGTAATATTTTACACTGCATGTGGATTCATTTTTATCATGAACTCAATTTGTAAATCAGGCATGTTATTTTATTTCATTTCATAATTTTAATGAGTCCAAAAGCCAGCTTTAAATAAATAGGGGGTCTATGTAGTTTCAACAGTTTGCATCTGCAATACACTTGTATGCAAAAGTTTGGGCACCCTGGTGAAATGACACATTTTGTCAATTTTCTAAGTGAAATAAGTTAATACATCACTCATGCAACAAACTTAACTAGTGACAAATTTCTACAAATGCAAATAACATAACTTCTTTGCTGAATTGAATAAAATTTAAAACTAAATTAAAATGGGGCTTGTGCAGAAGTTTGGACACCCTTTCCGTCAGGCCTCTCTGATCTTATGTGACTAGGCCTCAATCCAAGTCAGGTGAAAGCAGAGAAAGACTGTTGGCTGGGTACAAGAAATGTTGAAGGCTATAATTTCAGGGGGTCTTACTAAGTGCTGACTGAAAGGGTACCAAAACTTGTGCAGATACCACCTTTTTATTTTTTTCCAGGGTGTTAAGTTCATCAATAAATATTAATTGTGCAAAACAATTTGCAGAAGTGTGTCATATTCAAATTGGTAACATGCAGAAGTAGAGAAAACCTATTTTCACTTACAAAATCAACAGAATGTGTAAACTGACAAGGGTGTCAAACATGTTCCATACAACTGTATGCTTTTGATATTTTGCTTTAAGTCTTATCAGCCTGTAAGGAAGTAACATGGCACATATTGTAGCTATATACATGTGACAAGACATACATTTTTAATGCACAAATGCCATTCAAGGCATCAGAAGTGTCTTACCAGGGTCATTAAATGGCACCAGGATGTATTCTGAGGGTTGATTTGCACTGCCTGTCTTACTGTTGATGATGGATGAAGTAACTCTCCTGACCTCAGCAATGTCATCAGACATGCTGCCGGTTGTGTCGATAACGAAACACAGAACTGAAGTCTGGGTCAATCCCATCAATCTGAGGGACAAAACAAGCAATATAACATAAAGAGAAAATTCAAAGCACAGTTCAGAGGTAGTAACTAGATGAACAGACACTTTCTGCATTTGTACACATACCTGCATATGTGCGTTTGTGTCTATGTTTCAAGCATGACACACTTTCATTTTTTCACTTTGTTACAGTTCCAGCCTGATTCCAGCACAAAACCTTGATTGCAGGCTAAACTAAGTCAAAATTATACATTCAGAAGTTCATAAATAGGCCACTTTAACATCCAGTAGTTGAAAATTACACTGTACAGTTTACACCCTTAAAAGCAGCATTCTGGACTGTTTTGATGGAAATAAACCTGAACACAAAACAGTAACATTCCTAACAGTGATGCTTTAGATTAAGACAGTCTTTGGGAGGTACAGTCATTCTGAGGTTGTGCCACCCTTGGCAGTAATGACTGCACTCAATTGTTTGTGATAACTTGTGATGAGTCTTTTGTATCGAGGTGGAAGAATTTTGACCCACTCTTCTTTGCAGAATTGTTCTAATTCGGCTATGGTGGAGGGTTTTTTAAGCATGAACTGCCTGTTTAAGGTCTTGCCACAGCATCACAATGGAATTCAAGTCAGGACTTTAACTTGGCCACTCCAAAACCTTAATTTTATTTCTGTTGATCCATTCAGAGATGGACTTGCTTGTGTGCTTTGGATCATTCAGTGTGTCCCATTTCAGGGGCTGCGGCCTTCGGAGGCTGCATTTGAAGGCTGATTGCGTCACAGGGCCTTACGAGACTGTCCCATTTCGAAGACTTCTTCATATGCTGCCGAGAAATATGTCCTTCTTTTCCATGGCAACGAAGGATCCATCGCGTGCATCCTTCGTCAGGCAACATATCCAGAGATTCATTGCATGTTGGCAAGGATTCGAGAACATGGCGGCATCAACAGAGAAGCGAACGGCGGCTGAAGACTTCAATACCAAATGTAAGTATTCGGGTTTAAACTGAGGTGAATGGCTAACGATACAAATGTGAAAAAAATAAATAAAATACAATCTCATCACTAGCCAGCGGAAAAGGATCTCCAGCTCTAATAAATGAAAAAATAAACAACTAAAATCAAAGTTTCTGGCTCCATCTTTAAAGAACTTGAAAATAACATGAGCGGTGTTTCGTGATACACCGGTAAGAGTGGGAACAGCGGACGCAAACAGAAAATCAGACCATCTAATTTTGGTTCAGCCTTTGCGGTTCTAAACAGCCTTCGAAGGACTCGCCTTCGTAGACCACATCCTTTGAAGGATCCAACCCCTGAATTGGGACACACTCATAGTCTTGCTGCATAACACAACTACACTTGAGCTTTAGGTTGCGAAGAGATGGGCGGACATTCTCCTTTAGGATTTTTTAAAAGAGGGCAAAATTCATGGTTTCGCCAATTATGACAAGTCGTCCAGGTCCTGCAAAGCAAAGCAGCCCCACAGCATCACACTACCACCATGTTTAACTGCTGGTATGATCTTCTTATGATGGAATGCAGTGTTAGCTTTACGCCAGATGTAATGGGATACATGTCTTCCAAAAAATTCCACCTTTGACTCATCAGTCCACAGAATATTATCCCTGAAGTCTTGGGGGTCATTTAAATTTTTTTGGCAGAAGCGAGATGAGACTTCGTGTTGTTTTTGGTTAGCAGTGGTTTGCACCTTTTGCAACATTCCCATGCATGACATGTTTGTGGAATCATTTACACTGACCATAACAGAGGCAAGTGAGGCCTGCAGTTCTTTCGATGTTCATCCTAATCCTTTTGTGACCTCCTAGATGAGTCGTCAGTGCGTTCTTGGTGAAATTTTGGTAGGCCAGCCACTCCTGGGAAGTTTCACCATTGTTATGATTTGTTGTCCATTTGTGGCTCTCACCATGGTTTGCTGGAATCCCAGAGCCTTAACAATGGCTTTGTAACCCTTTTCAGACTTTTATTTCACATCTGTATTTGAATCTCTTTAAAGTGTGGCATTTTGTTGGTTTTTTAGACCTCCTAGAGACCTCCTGCTTCACATCACAGGCAGGTTCTATTAAAGTGATACTTGGATTCAACAGGTCTGGCAGTAATCACGCCAGGGTGTCAACTGAATTTGGTTAACTGGTTTAGTAGCTAAGGGGGCAGTTACATTTTCACATATGGCCAGGTGGGGCTGAACGGCATTTTCCCTTCAATAAATGTAATCCTCATTAAAAAACAGCATTTTGTGTTTACTTGGGTTATCTTTGTCTAACCTTAAAAGCAATTTGATGATCTAAAATATTAAAGTGTAACAAATATGCAAAAATAAGAGAAATTGGGAAGGGGCAAATACTTTTTCACAGCACTGTTACTGTCCCATAGTAGAGCAACATCTACATGTTGGTAAAACATCTGACATTAGTGAAAGACTTTAGATCCATGTCCACTTTAGATCCATGTGAAAAGCAGAATATGAGTCTCCTCACATTCCACAACACTAATGGAGGTAGAGATCCTCAGAGAAGTAACATCATATCACTGCAAGACTGTAATATGCAGACCCAATGTCAGGGGGTCATTTGTGGGGCAACACCCCACCAACCAATCGTAATTCCCTAATAAACATTACTCATTCAATTAATTTTTCTTCTTTTTTTCCTTTTTGCTTCTTATTATTATTATTGTTATTCTTGGTAGAACTTAATTTAATATAAACATGTGTAGTCAGCAAAATATCAGCTGTAAACATTTTTGGATGTGGTGTAGGAAGTAGTTTGTTGTTGACACCACCAGTTTCCCTTCACCCTGGGTTGTTCTGCTTCAGTGCAGGCAGATTCAGTCTCTCTGTCCCTTTCGGCTCTCTCTTCTTCAAGCTACTGCAGCTCCTTTGTGTATTCTGGTTCAAATTGATATGGCTCTATGACATTGTGGAAACAGACCTCCTCGAGGTCCTGCACATACTCTGCCGTTTTCCAAAAGAGGTATGAAAACTGTAAAACGAACTGTAAACAAAAGTTGCTGCTTTTTGAACGGCTGTAGCCACAGGCTTGTAGCAACAAAAGCAGATTAGCTTGCGCACACTGATCTCAGTTGAGCATGCAGTTTTGAGAGGAAACACGGAAGTAAGGAGTAATAGTTTATACTAAAAATATGTTGTATAACAAAACTATCACAAATCAGTGCCTCAGGTATCAAGAAACACATTCATAACCATTTTGTGTAACATGATGTAACTTTTAGAACCATTCAATGTTTCGGACATCTGGTTCCTAGGACTACAATGTGAAAAATTCTGATTGGTAAATTTCTTTAGAAAGGCCCATTTACACCAAACCACTCTGAATGATTTTGTTTACGTCTAAACCATTGAGTGATTAAGTAATGTTGCAAAGTTGGGAATTCCCCTTTAATTTTCTCAAACAGACCTCATTTAACTTCTGTGTTAATTGTCAGTTTTGGTGGGTATGTTTGACTAGAGGAAGTACCAATTATTCAAAACTTTTCTCTGAAGCAAATGAGATCATTTTGCATGTTTGCCGACAAGTATACAGCCTGTTCTCTGCAGGTCTGTTTTGGTTGTGGTTCATTTTGAGAATCACTTCCCTCTTCATGTCACTAAAAACACTACTGTGTTTTTTGGTTATTTTGTGGTTGGTTATTTTGCATGTCACTCAAAGAACCCCTTACTGTGAGCAGTGCGTGGTTCCTTGCCACTTTGGGCAGCAGGGGAAAATCTTAAGTGACTGTGTGTGTGTGTGTATGTGTGTGTGTGTGAATGTGTGTGCATGCAGATGCAAGAGAGAGTAAAAAGATTTATTCATTTCATAAATCTTTTTAGCAGTATGTTGCCCTGATACCTAAGAAACTGTGAATCTCCAACCGCTGCCCTGATGTCCTCCAGAAGCTCTCTGGTAGCAGCAATGGCTACCTTCACCGCATCCATATGTTGGTCACCATGGCTGGAGCTTAATGTGTCCTTATTGATACCACCTTTAGGCTCTGTATAACTCGTCAAATCGAGGAGTCCTCCATGGCTGCACTTTCCTTAAAATGAAATAAAGAAAAAAAAAACATTACATATAAATCTGTTTTATCAATCGAGAACTAGAACATAACTGAAAATCATCCACAGATCTACAAATGTTTCTACATTTTCAGTGTCCAGTTACAAAGGTTGTGTGTTCAATTAAGCACCTTTAGGTTTCTTAAAACTGAAGGTGTTGAAGTATCCTGAGGTCAGTTTCTTCTGCCTAAGGACTTCCTCCAAAATGTTTCCTTTGCAGTTACTACCATCACAACTCCTGCATGTTTCTGAATCTGTTGAATAAAAAGAGGATTGTGTTAACCAGTGTTAAGCAGTCATATCAGTTTACATTTGTTAGTTATGAAAAAATCATCTAACCACCACTGATTCTTAGTCTGCCTGAACGTCTGTCAGTCTGTCTGTGTAACTCTGTGGTCATCTTGTACGATATCTGTATAATTCATATGCATTATTCTGCCTGTATTTATGGCTGAAGCAGGATTAGAGGGTTTTTATTTTAGTGTAATGATTCGGTTTTTATTTATTTCAGCAAATAAACAATAAGTGTGCATGAATGTGCGGAAGTGTGTTCTCTGTATAGGATGTGTTCACTTATTTTTACTTAGAACATCAACAAAACATGTCATTTGACCAGAGGTGCTCAAATATTTGCATACAACAGTATATCTAGGGCCTGGCAGATCATATCATGGATTTCCACGAAAAGTATTCAAGCAAAAAACGTCATTTAATCCACATAATATTTCAAAGATGTTTAAATTAATTTATACATTCTTATAAAATCTATACATTTTCCTAACTATGTGCTAATTGACATCTTAAATACCTAGTTCAACATAATACAAAATCATGTTTTATAGAATCCTATTTCACTTTAAATCAGCTTGTTTTCATGTTAATAAATCCCCACAATAAGTTAATTAATTGGCATGTGATTAAGTTGTCAGTCAAATGTCATCTTTGAGGTTCGATCATTTTTGAAAATTAGTTTTTGCAAAATTTAGGTTTTATGTAATATTCTCATAATTAAATCAAACATACAGATTATTCTTTTCTGTATGCAATATTTGATGCTATGCCATGACTTTGAAAGAGTTTCCGGAAGAACTTTTTGGACTTTTTTTTCGACCCAGTTCATCATCAAAAGGTGCTAATCTTTCAAAACTGTTACTGAATATGGACAATTATATCTCATTAACAAGTGAAGAAATAAAGATGTGCTATCACTCCTTCATGATCTGTGTCCATCCTTTTTGAGCGGTAAAACACCACCAGTTCATTTCTTGTTATTATGCACAGAATTTCTTGTAGAGGCACCCAGTAAGTGTCCTGCTTTAACTGAACTATTTCATGAAAATTCTTGAAGTAACTTGCCAGACAATAGATGAGTCAGTGTGAAATGATTAAAGTATTTGAAGAGAAATTCCACAGATATTTCTATTTTCTATTTGTGTCATAGACATTGTGACACCTGGTTTCTGCAAAACCTCCACTGCTTACAACTTACAATTCCAAAAAAGCTGGGACACAATGTGAAATGCAAATAAAGAAAGCCGTGATTGGTAAACTCTGTTTATATTATATTGAAAACGGTAAAAACACAATATTTGATGTTTTACCTTATGAACTTCATATGTTTTTGTAAATATACACGCAACCAAATTTGTTGTTGCAGATACAAACTGAATCAGTTTTGAAAGCAGGATTTCTTCCCATTCTTCAGTTAAACAACTCTTCAGCTATGCAACCGTACACACTGTGTTGTCATATTGTGAGCTTAATAAGACACACTTTCAACTGGTGACCACAGCAAAGTCAGTCTAGCACCTGCACTCTCTGATTCAGACGCCGTGCTGTTGGAACACGTACATAATGTGGTTTAGTGTCGGCAGGTTGAAATAAGTGTTCCAATCATTTCCATGGCCACAGGTGTATAAAACCAAGCACCTAGGCCTGCAGACTGCTTCTACAAACATTTGTGAAAGAATGGGTCACTCTCAGGAGCTCAGTGAATTCCAGTGTGATACCCTGATAGGATGCCACCTGTGCGACCAGTCCAGTCGTGAAATTTCCTCACTACTAAATATTCCACAGTCAACTGTCAGTGGTATTATAACAAAGTGGAAGCGATTGGGAATCGTAGTAACTCAGCCACGAAGTGGTCGGCCACGTAAAATGACAGAACGGGGTCAGCGAATGCTGAGGCACATAGTGCGCAGAGGTCGCCAACTTTCTGCAGAGTCAATTGCTACAGACCTCCAAACTTAATGTGGCCTTCAGATTAGCTCAAGAACAGCATAGAGAGCTTATGGAATGGGATTAAATGACCGAGCAGCTGCATCCAAGCCTTACGTCACCAAGTGCAATGCAAAGCGTCAAATGCAGTGGTGTAAAGCCTTGCAGCCTAAAGTTTGCAGCCTTTTCCTTTATGCACAGAGTCTTTTGATGATATTATGTACTATAGAGGGTGATATGCCTAAATCCCAGTCAGTGATCGAGGTTCCTGGAATTGCGTGTCACCCAGCAGTTTAGGAATCAGGGCAGTAATGAATTCAGGTGGCTTTCCTTTTTCCTCCCCTTCTGGAATGCTGACAGTTTTAATGTGACCGGTCCTCTAAATCGTCGACTTTTGCCTTAAGCACTTTGTTCGCCTTCTGGGTGTCGGCGAGGGCCGCCTCAAGGGAGCTAATACAGGCCTTGTGGTCTTGCACCTGCCCCTCAATGGCCTCTGTCCTCTTCAAATGCCTGCATTGTTGTTTGCAAGGACTGTTCGAATTTGTCGAACCCCACATTGATAGTTTGCAAAATCTTACTCAATATTTTCTGCCATATTAGTGGTAGCTCTTCTTTAGATTGTTGGTAGCTAGCATCCTAAGAAAATCGTCACTGGCCGCTGCTGGGGTTCCTTTGAATGCTTGGACATTTTGGGCGGCATTACAAACCCATCAATTGCGGTTGAGGGCCGGTGATTGTCAGTAATAGACTGAACTAAGTGAGCATGTAAAATTAAATGAGAGGTGGTGAGAAAATTAAGTTTTAAAAACTTAGCACACAGGAGCTTGGAAAAAAACGCATTTACTCCATGCACTGCTCAAAATGGCAAGCCTTGACCCATTCTTACTCATAAAGGATTCTGTCTTTCCTGGATGCTGCTTTTATATCCAAGCATGACTGCATCACCTCTTATATATATTTTTTATGTTTCTCAATGTTCCTAGACTTAAACTTCTCCTGCCCCGCCTTTTTTGGAAAGTGTTGCAGAATGAACATATTTATAGTATATTTATAAAAAAATATGTATCTTGTTTTTTTTTTGTGCTATTTTCATTCAAACACTGGTCAGAGTAGATTATAGAATCACTGTTTTCTGTTTTATTTGCATTTTACCTACTGTCTCAGTGTCTTTGGAATAGGGTGTGTATAAGTGCAAAGTGAAACAGACGTAACCTGACCGCAAATTCAAAACTGAAAGCACCATGTATACAAAATGAAGGAACAGTGCAAATGAAAAAAACACTGACATAAACACACCCATATACTCTATACCATATACATAACAACAACAGACTCGTGTTTTACCGGCAATGTTCTCAATTGAGCTGCTGGGTTTGATCAGGTTGGGATAAGGAGTGTCGTTTCCCAGCTCTATCCAATTGCTGTGACTGTAGAAATCCTTTTTTGACAGACATGTAGCAACGTCAGAAATGTTGGAACATGACAGAATTGAAAGTTACATTAATTGTAGTATTTAATATAAAGCTTTTTATCTATTTATCTCTAAATGTAAAATGTGATGTGATGTAATCTGCTCCCATACCTGTAAAGTGTGCAGGACTTCACCCAGCTTCGCTCTGGCAGCTTCATAGCTCTGTTCCTTCACACTAGCCTTGACAATACTCACTCCTGAAGTGATGAGCTCCCGTCCATGCAAAAAGGTCTCGTCATCAAAGTGGTAAATAGGATTAAAGAAGTGATACCATGGTAAGTCCACCGCAGCATTATTATCAGTAATTTTGTCAACGCTCCCTTTGAAAGCTTTGGCTGAAGCAGATGAGGAGCAAGCTGCTGCCACTGACTCTTCTGTCAGGGTTTTTGGCTGCAGGGAAGGAAGACATAGACACAATAAAAATACATTTTACATTAAATAACTTGAAATACTAATAGATGAGGCTGATTTTTTTTTCTCACCATCACAAAATCTCTTCCCTGACTGAGTGCTTGTGATCTGCAGAGCTGTACTGTTGTATTTAAAATTGCGACTCGAGTTATTTCTTTATGAGTCATGGAGGATGAGAAAAAAGGCATGAAAGCCCAAGTCTGACTTTGCATGAGGAAGACCACCAGCAAGAAGCTGATAGATGTTCTGATCGGCAAACACGTGGTCACCATCATCAAATCTGTGAGGAAAGAAGAACATATAAGAAACATATAACAATGATTTTCCAGTGTGTTTGCATATATATATATATATATATATATATATATATATATATCACGGTTGGCAGAGCAAAACCTCATATCTCAAAAATGGTAACTTTACAGGAGAAGGAAAAAACAAATTTTACTTTGAATGTAAGTCAGTGGAACTACAGTCATTTGGATATTTCTTTTAGTCCATTCATCATGAAATTTACACACAATGTTTATATATATATATATATATATATATATATATATATATATATATATATATATATATATATATATAAAATCTTTGCTGTCCAAAGAAAATTTCAATTTTTGTCAATTTTTTTTCTACATCATTTCATGATGAGGGGACCAGTAGAAATGCTCCAAAATCACTTAGAATAAAAACTCTTTACATTAACTTACAGTAAAGCGTGAGTGTTTTTGCCTTCTCCTGTGAAGTATATATATACTAGAATGTGGAAAGCATACCTTGAAGCTTGAGTCTTCAGATCACAGACCTGGAAGGAAAATGCCTGTTTAACCTTGTGCACCCTTATATAAACGAAGTCGAGGAGTGGCCGATGGGACAATGAAGGCCAGCCCCATCAAACATTCGGTTGTATGAGGAAGTAAGTTGACTTCTATGATCGCCTGGTATATATTGCAATGCCTGTTTCCAAAGAATCAGCTTCATGTAGGAATGTCCCTTAACAATTCATGTGAAATAAAATGGAATGCTTCATTGACTTGATAAAAAAAGATAACATTTGGTGCATACAAAAATTTCAGTAGAACAAAAACAAAAGCATTTTACGAGTAATATAAGTGATCATTGGCGCACTAGTTACACCATAATAATGAAGCAATAGACAGAAGAAAAGCGAAAAACAAAAAAGTCACTCTCCATTAATTTTTTAATAAATTAAACTATTAAAATTAAATTCAAATGGAAAGTTTGAATAATGTATGTTTATCTAAAGTGAAAAATTTGTACAATATAAATTTTTAACAGACTCTTATTTTGTTAGAAGTATGATTCAAAATTTACTTGTGAAACTTGTCATTCTCACAAATCGGACAATCATACCTTTGTCAATCATTTTGGGAAAAATCATACCTTTCCCTGTTTAACCTTTTTTAACCTCATAAACGAAGAGTGTGGTGGATATAGATACACAAACAGAGACAGATATAGACTGATAGGTAGACAAACAAACAGGCACACAACAGAAATTTTAAAAATATGGGCTCATGAAACAGTTAAAACCAATTCACTTTTAGCTTACAGTTACGAAGTACGCAGTCAAAAAGAAGTGCCCTGTCAATCTAGCTCAACTGGAAATGCCTTCTTGTGTTCTGCAATTAGTTTTTTTTTTCCAAATAACCTTAACTGCTACAATAGCACCATACATTTAAAACTGAAAGTACATCCAAAGTGATGGAGCAGAAAAAACACACCTACGATCACACCCTCACACTCCTACCACGGCAACAGACATGTTATGTTATCAGTTGGGCTGCTTAGTTTGATCAGGTTGGAATAAGATCTTGATGATGATGATGATGATGATGATGATGACAGATACATACCAGTCCTGGAAATCTTGCTTAAACCCTTAAAATGCCAGACTTATTACATACTAACGCATTCAGACATAAGGTGTTCAGCAACTGCAGGGACTTCAGTGCAAACTGGCTGAGTTATTCGTAGGTTATAGAAGTGTGTAATAAAACTTTGGGCCCGCCTGTTGGCCCTGTTCATTTACAGGGTTTAACAACCATTCAGCCTGTCAGAAGGAGTGTCGAGCAGTGATCAGATCTTCCTACAGATATAAAGTTCATGTTTTCAGTATAGCATAACAGTCCATTGTGTCTGTCACGTCAATTTCTCAGGGACAATACTCTTTTAAACCTGAAGTGCATTGGAAATCTAGCAGAGTTGTCCCATTAAAACAAGGTTAAAGGTATCGGTTGTTCCTGGCAACTCGACACCAACATTCCTCACTTATTATCATGACAGCCCACCTCATGTCCTTTTAGGCCAACTGAAAACAGTTATGACCATTTTGGAAATGGCTTGGTGGTCCTTTGTTAGAAAAGACATATGGGCATAAAGCATGTCTCTGTATTTGTTTTTCAAGTGGTTATGGTCCATACTAGAGATATTTTTATATATCGTCAATTCATGAAACTGAAACACAATATTGTTTATCTGTTCAGAACATGTAACAACACCATTAAGCATTTCAGGTTTAAATGTCTGATATAAAGAATCTGAGATTTTCTGCCCAATGTAATTTGGTATGATCAGTTTCCTTTATACTAAGAACTCCTTAAGCTCCCAGCAATTTGTAAGTTATAGGTTCATGAAAATATCTATAATAAATAACACACTGAAAGTAACAGTTGTGACCACCTCTTTCTGGCACAGTTACACTCTTAAAACACATTGTGGTAAAAACTAGAGCTTCTGTAATTAACTAACATATTGGTGTGTTCAATTAAGGAAAACACATTTTTCTCACACACAAAATGTGTGAACATTTTCTCTGTGCTTAGTTCCAGATTTTTTGTGTTTCTTTTAACAACAGAAAAACAATACGACACAAATTAAACAGGTAACTTAAGTATGGGTGTAATTATTTAACATATCTTATTTCAGAGTGTATGATGGGAGCAACAAGAAGTGACCTGACGATCTTGCTCAACCAGACATTGTCTTACCACATACTGTGCTTTGTTTTTTTTTCCAAATGACTAACTACTATAATTGCACTAGTTAAAAACTGAAAGTAAAACCAAAGTAATGTAACAGACCGTTTTCAGTCAGTACCAATTAGTGTTTAATCATGCTTATATCTATTCATCATCTCAGAAGGCATGTCTAACAGTCGTTTGGACAGAGAAACAGAGATACTACCTAACATGTTTAAAGGTTGACGTTATTACAGACTACAATGCACTTTTGTAGGCAACATCCAAAAAAGCTGTGGTCAGATCTTAGTACATACTAACAATCAGCGTAGCATAAGTCTGTTGTTTGTTATTCCAATCAATAAAGGACACCAAATTTACCTTAACTTACTTCAATCAACTTAAAGTGCATGAAAATGTGAAAAAATCCAGCAGAATGTTTTGTACCTTGTCTAACTGTCACATTAAAAGCAGGTTGAAGATGTCAGTTAGTTGTTCCTGAGTACTTAACATCAGCCTCCTCACTTATTATTATGATAGCCCACCCCATGTTTATCTAGGCCAAAAAGAGTTACATAAGAAGACTTCTTTGGAATATGGCTTACTTGTCCTCTGTTAGAAAAGAAAAAGTTCCAAGGACATCCAGGAGGGGGATCCTGTTACAAACCAAAGAGAATAATACTGGATTTTCATCTGCACCGTCATGACCTAATGAACATGGGAATACTCACAAAGAATTACACGCATGATTCTACCCACTGTGTGAACCTTGTGATTCAACAGGGCTGTGTGTAAATGAACTGCTACAATAGTCCCTTCAAACATTTTACTAAGGTTTTCTAACTGCTGCTGATGGTCAAAGTTATCATAGATCACAGAGAGTTCTCCTTTTAACCCCTTAAACGGCCATGAACCACTAGCAGACCCAAAGTTTTACAGACTTCTAGAACCTAAGAACAGCTCAGCCAGTTTGTCTGTGTAGTAACTGAATAATAAGCCTTAATATGTAATAAGCCTGGGAGTTTATGGGCTTAAAGCCTTCATATGTTTTTTACAGTTGAGATTCTAATAGTGGGAGCTGCAGAGGTAACAAGAGAAAAAAAGGACTCACAGTAGAAACTGCTGTCAGTAAACCACCAAGAAAGTGAATTTCTGAAGAATTTCTGTAACTAATTAAGCATATGAATTGTGTCTAACTGTGAATGCCAGACTGCATCTTTACACCACTGACTATCATGCCAAGATATTTGGTTATCAATGTTTACGGTAAATATCAGCTGGAACTATGCAAATATAAAACTCTTTCTGTGTGCAAACGGCAGTCAGAAGCCCATTCGGGAGAATGACACCTGCTGGAGATCTCTTTTTAACCACAGCCACAGCCAACTCATTCTGAAAGAGTACATAAAGAGTGCATAAACAACGGCACATTAATTTGTCAACCAGAATAGGCTGTTAATTACTTTCTAAGGCTGTGTGAGTGAGAACAGAAGCGTGTTTAAATTAACCAACTGGACAGCACTGTCACTTCCCAGGGGGGTGTGATGTATCATAGTCTGCTTGAAATGTATCCATTTATACCCCGGTGCCAACAAGTAAGTCATTTGCATCTATCATAGACTGTTGGTTTTACTCAGAATTTATTGCAACCACACTCTTGACCTTCATATGAAACCTGCTTTAGTCATACTCAAATTTAAACTTAAAGGAAATAGGAACTTGTCATAGACAACAGTGAAGTTCCCGGCAACTAGGAGGAAAATTCCTTCATACAACATGGCAATTCACTGTGTATTACAAAAATAAAAGTAAAAATAGCACCAAAGGAACACTAAAGACAATATGCATAAGAGTGAGAAACAATAAAATAAAAATGTAAAAGAAGCTATGTGGCATGTCTGAAATGATCCCCTACTCACTAATAATCACTATACCCTATATTTAAGCACATTTAAACCATTTCAGAAATGTCAACATCTTTGGTAACATGTATACTCAGCTTTTTCACACTATCCTTAATTTGTACACCATGGAGATTTTTAAACCTGAGTGTCAAACAAGCACAAACACTCGCAACTGTTTAGGTTTAAATGCAAACCAGAGGCAAGAGATAAAGTTTTAATAGTCTCAAGAGTGATTGGTCTTTGATTATCTGCCAGCTGAGAGTTTCTAATTTCCTTTTCAAAAACTGAAATACCTTTCAATAGAGGATGCTTACCAATACTAATAGCAAGTAATTTGACAGCTAAAATGAAGAGAAAACATGAAATTGGGCATCCTTGTCGAACACCACGACTTGGTTTACATCTTTTAGAAGTATGCTTATTGATATGAGAAATGACACCCACCCCACCACTTACCTGCTGTAAAAACTGTCACAATGCGAAGGGCTAACCTTGGTAACCTAATACAATGATTCATAGAGTGCCCATACAAAAAATCTGGATATGTATTCAGTATCTTAATATAGTTTCTCATTGATTTTCAAACTGGACATTGACTTGCTTTTAAAATTTCTTTTTTCCAAAGCAAAAAAAGTAACTAGTATTCTTTTCACTTTTTTAAGCCGCTTAACTCTAGAATGTATGAATGCACCTTTTGCAATATTCATATACAGATGATCAATCTCAGCTGCAGAGATTTTAATTGTTTAATTCGTTCTTTTTCAAAAGGGCCTCTGACTTAATTGAAATTTCATTTTCTTTAAACGCCTGTCTTTGTTCAGCTCTTTACTTTGCTCAATAGCAAAGTTCCTAACTTTGTACTTTAAAAAGTCCAATTATTACAAAATGAATTGTTCAATTTCCAATATCCTCTTGTATCTTCAGGATTATCCGAAATTCTGAGATTCAGTAGCACCATCTTGTGGTCAGTCAGTGGAGTGCTATTATGTCTCCTTAACTGGAGGTGTTAAGGAGACATAAAAAAGATCAATCCGGGCCTTTCTATTCATGGAATTGTTATTCCAAGTGTAGTCTGCTGTGAATGGATTGAAAAATTTTTCAAGTATCAACAAGCTCAAGATCACGAAGGCTGGATATTACGCAGCTCTCAACACTGTGTGACAGTCTAGGAGGACACTCATCAGTTCATCTGAATATTGAATATTATATATCAATATTACCATTTTTTTGAGCTTATATCCACATATCCAGTCACCCTGTGTTTGGTTTTACAATAATTTACACACATAAACTACAATCTATATACAGTTTAGATTGTAGTTTGGGCATCCCTAATAAACCTCTATGTATTTGTTGTTTTACTAAATGTAAGTCACTTCCTCTACAGACACATAATTCTACACATTCTAAAGCATAATTATGGTTTATATCCTTAATTTAACATGTTGCAAAAAAGTGATGTGCAAAAGTAATGGCACTTTCAATACATTATATGTGTGTGTGTCTAAATGTGAAGACAAATGTCATTTTTAACTTTATACCTGTAAAGGATTTGTTCTCATATTCATGCTTAGAGCATCAACAATGTGTTATTTGACAAAGGATGTCCTTACTCTACATAAGACTGTGCACTGTGCCACAGTCATTGGCCAAGATGAGTTTTGCTGCCATGATGAAACAAATCCTAATATATGGATCATGTATTAATTTAGGGGGACTCATGAGCTCCATCTTCAAAACAATCTTAATATTATTTTATCCCCAAAACTGAAATGAAATGTTTGCCTTTGAACATTAAAGTCCTAAGATCCCACAACGGCAAAAGCATGACAGCAGGAACGTGCCTTTTGTACAAGTTTGTAAATGTGTAAAGGTGTATTAGCAGTCTGTCTTAGCCCATAATTATTATGGCCATGTTGATCCACAAACTGTAGTTCATTATTGATCCAGTGTCTTTCAACCTAAACATTAGCTTAATTTCTTCAGTCAACATTCAACACTGATTTAATGTTTTTTCATCTTTAACCAAATGCAACAAAACTAACCAACATTCAATGTTGAATCAATGTTCCTTTGCCATC